TTTTTTTTTCGATATATGAATTTATAAAAAATCCATTTGTTCCGAACTCCATTGCCCGTTACTTTTTAAATACATAGAAATTTCAGATGAGACCAGCGGACATATAATAAATTATTTTGACTTTATCGGCCGCATTCATATAAATCCGGGTATGTATATCCTGTGCTTTAAAAATGATTTACTTTTTCGGCTGTGTGTCGTAAATAATAACAAACGTCATTTATCAAAAATGGGATTTCTTTTGTTTGGAGTTGCTGCGCAGTAATTAGTGCTGTGTCGTTCTTTGGAAGAGCGGGGGGCACCCCTGGCGAAAGAATAATACCGCTGCAGATCCCAGATCCAGATAGAAAACGTAATAAATGAAAACAGCGCTGAAATATGAACAGTCTTAATTAATGGAGCGAAGATATCTTAATTAATTTTATACTTTGTATCAAAAAAAGTAACTGTGTTAAGCAGTTATTTTAATGCTTACTACTTTTGTATTTAGAGTATTTGAAAATTTTTAACGGTTTCGCAGATATTCGCGGTTTTATATTTCATTTGGCATTTTCCACAGTAATTTTTTATCAAAGCTACCCAATAATTTTCCTTTCAAATAATACTGCTTGTATCTGCGAAACCATTAAAAATTTTGAAATACTTTAAATACAAAAAATGTTCATTTTTTAACTCTTCATCTGATAAAAAAGTAATATACAGGATGTCCCATTTAAAAAAAAAAACAAAGAAAATTTATTATATTTTATGTATTTATATTTTAGAAAGTTTGGCGTAGAATTTTGAACACCCTGTATGATTTAAAATTACGATATTTATGGCAAAGTAAGTGTAGACCATCTAAAGTAAATACAGTTTTGATATCAGGACAGCTATTGTATTTGTAATAATTTTTTAAGGTTGAAAAAAATATATTTTTTATTTATTTATTAATATCTCTGAAATTATCGAAATATATTTAGTCATATCTTAGGATTATATAAAGTGATCTGAAAGGAAGCCGAAAATGCAATAATATACATGGTGTTCCATTTAAAAAGAAACATCACAATCCACTAATACTTTTTTGGGCCACCCTATAGACCTTAAAATATTTTCCTGAAATACATCCTCGTATATACCTTAGGTTTACGCTTAAACAAAATTCTCAGGTTTTCTATTATAGGAGCTTCAGATGCCCGACGCACTTTTGCCGGACCCTGTATATACCATACGATCGAGAAAAAACGGCGTCGAAAACGGCTGGGAAATGAAAATCGATGATAATTTTGGCGAGATCCAGCCCTATAGATTAGGGTGGTGCGTCGGTATAGGGGATTTTTTTTTGGAAATTGAAAACCCCTGTATGCGGGAAAGTTGTGTTTTAGTAAAATGATAATGCAGATTTTTTTTCAAATTTTATTCAAAATTTAAACAAATTTTTTTTTTTTTAATTTTCAAAGTGAAATATCTTAGTTATTTTGAACTTTTTTGAAAAACCGCAAAGAGGAAATATGTTTCTTTTATCGAGATCTCTACCAGCCCTGAAAATATTTGCACTTAAGACTCACCCTGTATAGGGCATGTCATCGAACGGTCATTTCCAAATCAACAATGTGCCGCTTTTCCTATATCGTGCGATATAACTTTATGTGCTATTCAGAAAATTAGTTTAGCATATTTCAACAGCTTTTTCATTAGTGTAAATAAAAAACGCAGGTGGTTATTACGGACTAACGAGACGTGGCTTAACATAAAACCAGATAGAAATCGCAAAAATGTAAGAAAAATATTGCGCAATAAAAAATTTGTCGTAAATTTATATCGCATTCTCCTTACTAAAGCTATTAGGGTTATGTGCGCGAGATAACTCTACAGGAACAAGAAAAAATGGAGAAAAATATTAACTAGGCGTTTAAAAATTAGCGATAAGAATTATTATTAAATAAAAAAAATAGATCCACGACTCTTGATAATATGGGGGAATAGTTTTAAAGGTACATTTTAGGTTTAGAAACTTAAGAAACTATATGATATTAGAACTTTTGGTAGGTGTAATATGTAATAAAATGTAATTTTACTTGCTATAAATATAAAACAATCTAACAATAAATAATAACGCCAAAATTATAATGAAAGAAGCGATAGCCTCTAAAAGAAAAATAAAAGAGGCTTTTTTAATTCAATCTAATAAAAATAAATATATTACTCATGCATCTGTAGATGTTAGTAATGTATGGCAATCGCTTCTTTGATTTTAAAGAACATAACAAACGTAAAATTTAAAAATAATTATACAGAAAGTTTGGGCTTTTTGGTTTTACCTAATTAAGTATTTGTTATCAGGTAGTAATTGTTAATTTTGAAGTTTAACTTAATATAATGTCATTTTAACAGAACGTCAACGATTTCTTGTAGACGTATCTGTTTTAAAAAGTAAAGTGTTCTCGAATAGTTCAATTTAAATATTTTAAATAGCTTTTTTCTTGATTCTTTATATGTTTTTGCTTCCGACGACGGAAAGAGAAAACTTTCAGAAACGTTAAGCATTTTTTTCTTTGTTAGGCAAATTTTTATAACTGTAAACACAACTTCTGGCAAGCAGCGTCCGTTTAGGTTTAACGCAGAAGTGTTTACAAAAAATAACTATTTTATTTTGTAGATTTTTCTTGCAGTGCAGTGGCGAAATACCCATAAAGGATTTTTTTGTATAGATAAAACAATCTATCAAAGAACGAAAACAAAATTTATATTACCATAAAACGCGTTTTGATTTTTAGGACTTAGAAAAAAGTAAATTATATTTTCATGTTTTTTACCATACCAAAACGGTATGGAAATTTGGAGAACTAAATAAAGGGAATTTACCATTAGGTACAACCAAAATTTTTTATGAATAATGCATTTTTCTCAAAATGTCAATAGTTAAAATGATTTTTCTCTTGTAAAGACAATCCGGGGACATACTGTATAAACACCCAATCAACTTACAATATGATATTTTATATCAATATTTTATATCGAACAGATGATATTTCGTTGCATGACAATTTTCAAAAAATAAATATTTTAAACTAACTGAACGATTTGATATGTTTTAATTAAAACGAAAATTACTTTTTGTTTGGTTATTGCTTATAATAATATAATGATAATATTTAGTTTAGTGATGTTAATTTAGTAGTAAAATATGTAAAAAAGTTCGTATAAATGTATGTCCTAAAATGTTTCGTTTCGGAGATACAGGGTGTAGAAATTTCATTTTTATTTCGGTTTTTTTTCCAATAATTTCTGTACTAACATCGATTTTGGATGAAAATTGGTGTCTGCGAGTTTTTTGACATGATAAATTTGGTTTCGATGTCAATATGACTCTTAGTTTTAGGGGACGCCATATACATGTTTTTTTAACTATTTTGAAGAGTAATAACTTTTCGTCCGTACCTGTTTAAAACTATCTACTGAGTCAATAAGCAGTCATAAAATATACATTTCCGTAGTTTTTTACGTAAAAAAGTTTATTGATAAAAATTGTTAGTAGAGTAATGGTTCTCGAGATATTTGGAATCGAAATTATCAATATACATGTCATTATTGACCAGAACTAAACATGTTGACTAGATAGTAATTAGACGGAAAATCATAAACCTGATTTTTTTTGTGGCAAAGGTTCTCCATCTCTTTACGTATTATAATGTTTCTAAATTTCCAAAATTAAAAAAATATATTGTATTAAAAAATATATATCTACATATAAAAATATTTATTTAGATATTTTACAAAAAATATCCTTCAAGACTTCTAAATACATAGAGCTGTCTTTATTTTCCAATGTACTTTACAGAATTTAAAAGAGGATTGAATAACGTAAAATATTTTCACGAGCATTTATCCCAACATTTCAGCTAAAACTTTGCCGATGTTTACGCGTGTTGGTAATACTTTTCCAGACAAGTTGAAGAAAGAAAGAACGAAAAGAACGCGAAACCAATTACAGCGGATGTGGAAACGGTATGTCCGCATTAACTTTTGCTTTGTCGACGAATAAAGGAATATTTCTCTTGATATCTGTGCCTTTGTAGCTAAATACAATAAGTTAAGCTCTAAAACTGTCAAAAAGTATTAAATTCTTCTCATTCTTCCTTCATTTCTATCAAAACATTAAATTAAAAAATGTGGGTATCTTGATATGGAATAGATTCTAGATAGTTGCCAACATATCTGTAGGAATGCACTCTATTTGAATTTAGTGCTTGCTCTGCCCTCTTTTATCTCTCTACACGACTAGTGTATTTTAAGGAATAGTTTTCTGTTGCAAAATTATTCCTTTTTTAACTAGTTCCTGATAGATGGCGCATAAAAAAAATATTTTTCCTAAATTTGAATATTTAGGATATAGGTTTAGTAAAATGTCTTTTCCTATAATTCCTAATATGAACCTTAGATGGCGCTAAATAAAATTGGTTAATTTTGCCGAAATCCTTAATTTGTAAATTTTTTTTAAAAAAAGTTTTCTTTATTTAGGATATACGCTAAATAAAACGCCTTTAGTACAATTCGACACTATGTTCCTAGATGGCACTAAACGCAATACAATTAATATTACCGAAATACTAAAATTTAAAAAAAAATCTTAAAAATTAAACATTTTTAAAATATTTTTACAGTAGAGGTAAATTATTCATTACAAATAAATAAAACACATTTTTTTCTATTAAATAACAAAGATTGTTGATTAATTACTGCCACAGTTTCGTAATTTATGTTCCTGAAACATTTTTTACGTCTGTGTTGCCAAGATATCATCGAAGTCGTGAAACTAATCAAAATCAGGATTTTTGTATGTACCTATAAAACCATTATAAAACGAATTGAACTCTTACAAAATCAAGACAATTCTATTAAGCATATAATATAAACAATGTTAGATTAGAATAAATAATATATTTTTTACGCACAGCATTTTTGATACAAAACAGCAAAAAATCAATCTGACAGCGTTGTCAGTGCGCCATGTTTTGCGTTGTTGTTTGTATCGTGTCGTTATGTCGCTCTCATAATTTTTGAGATTTTTGAAGGAAAAAGTTATTTTTCTGTACATTATTTCAATGTATTCTGTTCCTTAAGGCCTATTTAACCTCTTGAAAATGTAAGTACCTGGTATTTTACCTGTTTTCTATAGTTTTTTTCACTTGCAAATATTTCAATTACATCATCATTAAAAAGCCGATACATTTTTCCTATTTTCATAATTCTCTTTTTCGAAAATCGAGTATATGGTGATATAGATAGTTTTCTTGATGTCTGTATTGTACATTAAAAATATAGTTACTTAAAATATTGCTCCATATTTAGAGATATTTGGTATTTTTTGAACCAGTTTTTTTGGTAGAGGTAAAGATGTTTTTTGTTGAACTTCTTTCCTAAATGTGTTTTTAGGTATTTATTCATACAGCCAAACAAGTTTTCTACATCTTTTAGAACGAGTCAGTGTTAAATATAACTAAAGGGGCCCCCATTTTCAATATATTTATATAATACTTTCAGATAAAAGAAAAGAGTTTACACATCACCCGAAATATGTACTAAACTTTGTTTTCGAGTCTTTATTGTTATGTAGACACTGTCGTCATATTTTAGTTAATAATTTTGCATCGTTTTAATATACATATAATAATGCTTGAATTATAATTTTCTTTTTAGGAACGTTAGTAAAAATACACACCAGCAAATGACCACCCAAAAAAAAAAAGACCTGGTCACCCCTTGGTATAATCCTGATGTTGAGCTACCATTCTGGTTTACGACATTGATCTTCTATTATCTAATTAAAAGTAAGTTTAAATTATATATTATTTAAAAGTAATTTTAATAAATCTAGTGAATGTTTACTAACTCACTAACCATAGATTTTTTAAGATACATTTAATCTCAGTATGAAACAAAAATATAATTTTTATTTCTTTTGTTACAGATTTTGTACAACAAATCAATGGATGGCTACAGTTCCATGGCAGTACATTTATCCTTTTGACAAATATTACTAACAATGCATTAGGGTTTATAAGTATATCTATAATTTTATTTCTGTTCGGTATATAACTATATAATTTTACTGGTTTTTAATGTTCGTCAAGGGAATTCATAATTTTAAAATTTAATTACGTAAGAAAAAAAATTCAATTAGTCTCTGAGGTACATTTTTATGGTTCCTTATTTTTTATGTTAATTTTTGGCTTTTGGACACTTCTTTTTTTTTTGGTAGGATATTTAGGACTTTACTTCATGTTCATTTTGGTTTACTTTTAATTCTCTATAATAGCTTGACTCTTGAATTCTCTTGATTGTGGAAATAATATCATTTATCAATCCTATAAAATATGCCATTACCTATAAGTATTTCTATAGGTCTTATTTGTTTGGTAAAATATACCATATCTACTTAGAATTTTACTTGATGTTGTTTATGGTTAGCTTTAATTTTTTTATAATAGTTTGACTCCTATATTTTCTTCCTTGTAGGCATAATACCATTCCTAAGTCTTCAATTGGCATTATTATGGTGTCAAAATTCTTCTAATACTGTTTTGCTTGTGTAATTCCTTGTACAGAATTTTTGTTTCATGGATTCCTTTGCATGTCATTCATACATGAATTGTTATAATTTTACACTCAAAATTTCCGATCAATTCCTGGCGCATTCGCCATTTATTCAAAAACCTGACTTCCACAAGATAACCACACCTCTGACTTGTCTAGCATTTTTTCCAATGCATTTTCCTGTGTAACATCGACTCCAGAGCATCATAACTAGCCTCCCCTAAGAGGAGGAAACCCGGGTCACCCCCTAACCCTGATGTTCGGCCATCGATGACCTATGTAGCATGCATAGGTACCCAAGGGAGTCACCACCCTCTGGTTTACGAGCTAGGTGTTCTAACGCTAGAGGCTTCGGCCGGATACGACCTGGCACCCAAGCTACGAGACTTCTTCGTGCACGTATCCCGTGACCCTCGAAGAGGCAGGGGGCGGGATATCGGACACATTGAAGATGATGAGGGGGGTCCGCCTGTAGGGGGTCCCGGTGGATGTCCGCTCGATGGGTGACGAGGGTGACCCGAGACGAGGCTGCTTAGCTGGGATGGGAACTGACTGGTGAGGCTTAATCGTCGCCCAAAGGTTAAATCTGATGAAGGGAGGCGAACTTATATGCTCTGGGGGATATTTTCTTATGTGCTTGATGTCAAATTTTGACTAAATATTTGTTAGAGGAGGCTAAGCATTATTTTTTGCCAATTTTCCTGTTCTTATTGACCATATAGCTCTTTATTTATTTTTAATATCATCTAAAACTTTTTGCTCCATCTTGCTTTTGGCCTACCTCTATTTCACTTTTTTTCCGTCATATTTTCTGTATTATTTGAATATCAGTCATATATACTATTTCAATGACTTGATTGTGTTTTTATTCATTTCCATGTCATTTTTTCCAATTTATCTTTGATTTTCATGTCGTTTTTTTCATTTCATCATATCTCTGTTTCATTATTATTCACTCATATTTTTATTATTAATGGAATATCATTATATTCATCATTCTCATCCTTCTCAAAATTTTCTAAGACATAATATTTCAATTTTTTCTATTGCCTGTATAGAATTACATATTTTTGTATTTGTTCTTTCATTATTAGGCTTCTATATTTCTTCTTTATGGGAATGCCATCAATCATCAATTCTATAAACTCTTCCATTGATTGTATTTCTAAAATCTTCTTATATGTATACAATTGTATAATTTTTTGTGTCATTCTTCCTTGGCTTTTCTTCACTTTTTTGAAGTTCATTACTCATTTTCATGCAATTTTTTCTTTCCACATCTGTTTCTTTAAAAAAAATTCTGAAAATCTATTAATTTACGTATTTCTGAGTTATCTGCGTCATCATTTATTTATATCAATTTATTTTTTTTGTATTGTGTTATTCTGTGTCAAGACTAGTCTAAGGCATTTTATATCTATTCTCTGTAGAATGTAATATTATCTTTTTGATGTTTTTTTTTCAATTCATCATACCATACAGAGTAGAAGTTTAGTTATTCTTAAATATAATTTATTATTTTTCTTCTATGTTTATTCTATTTTTCATTATCTTTTTTATTTATATTATTTATGATATCATTGCTATTTTTCTAATACTTCCAGGTCTTTGATTTTATTTTCTATTGATGCCCACATCGATATTTATAGTTCTAGATTCATTTTCTAATTGATTTTCTTGTCATTTATTTTCTAATTCCATTTAAAATTGAGTTATTAAATGGAGTATTGTACTGCTTTGGAACAAGGATTTTTTGTGGCATCACTTCAAGAGGACTTCAAGGGACTGCACTACAAGCAACCACCCATCTTCAAAATGCCATTAGGTTGATTAAATTCAACATTCAACAGTGGATTGAGGATGAAATTCATCATTGAAGAGGAAGCTTAATAATTTTAGGTAAATTATACTAAACGGTGTATTTTTTAAAACAAATTTGTTTAATAACTACGGTAATATTGTATTTTGTAAAATATGTAGATATAAATGATTTATTTCAAATAAAACATTTTTGCCCAAAATTTGCTTTTGTATAGGCAACTAAAGTTACATCAGGAATCTAAATTTAATTTTTGATTTTAGGTAACTTTAAGTACACTTTTGTGTATACAATGTGGCTGTATAAAAAAATCCTTTTTAAATATTATAATTAAACTATTTTTTAATTACAAATACAGCTGATTTAACCATGTTTTGTTTCTTGTATCACTATTAAAAAAAGTTCTTTAAGTTACAAAGATTCTGATATATTATTATAATACTTATGATATTTTATGTAAACCAACAGTTCAATGATAATTTGAAGTTATAGAAGTAATAGTTTTTAATTATGCTTGTTAGTTAACAAATAGTTAATTATTTCTTTATTTTTTTGTTACAGAACCAAGACTTTCCAGAATGGTAGCCAGAAGATTTATTTACCTCAACATCAGCATGTCCCTCAACATTTTGTATTTTAATATACTTTTTATTTTACTCTTTGTTAATTAAAATGGAATATGCAAATAAATAATAATTAATAATATATGAGTTTTATTAAACCAAAAATAATACTAGAAATACTGTCTAATCCTGAACAAAATGAAAGTCATTCAATAATCATAAAAATAATATATCCTATTACTGAAAAACTTAACAAGTTGTTCTGGAATTAGACAGTATTTTATATAAAAATAATACCTAAGTTTACCTGTCTTAGGTACTCCCCTTGATAGAAATTTCGTCTTTTAATAAAAATTGCACGAAAATTTTAAGTATATACCTCTTCGCTCTTATGCTCTCCTGATAATAATCCGAGAAAATTCAGCTTTGAACAACGAAAACTTTTAATCAATCAGTGATTTTTATCAGGAACACATAAGTGTAAAGAGGTAAGGAGTAAATTGAGTACCAATATTTACCTATTCGCTCTTATGTACTCCTGATACATATCCGAGAAAATTCAATTTTTGTCAGAGGCTGCACGAAAATTTTTAAACCGGGTCAAAAATCGCCGATTTCTATCAGGAACACATAAGGGCGAAGAGGTAAGGAGCAAATTAGTACCACATATAAATATAGCATTAATCAACGATATTTCTGCTATCTCTAGCACTTCGACCTCGTTTCCAAACTTCAACCCCTAATATCTCGGAAACTATAAGGGTTAGAGAGGAACGGAACACGGCATTCGATAGGCATTTCAACCCTCTATAAGGGCGCAAAACAAGGGCGCGATCGGAGACCAAAAAATTTTTTGGCGAAAAATGAGGTAAGGGGTTAACCTTCCTTCATTTTCGCCCAAACATTTTTTTTGTCTCCGATCATCCCCTAAACTTGCACCCTTATAGAGAATTGAATTCCCTGTCGATTGCCGTCTTGCGTTCCTCGATATCTCTTATAGTTTGGCCGTAAGGGCCGTTTTTCGAAAAAATCTAACTCATTCGAACTCGTTGGTCAGGTTCTCTAAAATTTGCTAGGTTGAAATTATTTTCGGCAGCTTTTGTTAAAAGTGAACAATCTTGAATTTATATCAGGAGTATATGAATGCGAGGAGGTACATATATGTACGATTTTTCAACAACTAAACCAACTCCTCGCTCTTATGTGCTCCTGATACAAATCAAGGATATTCGAACCATAACAAAACTGGCACGGAGAATTTTTATTTTGAAATAAATTTCCGATTACTGCCAGGAGAATATAAGAGCAAGGAGATGAATTCTATCTTATATTTAAAGTATATACTTTTTATATTTTACTAGAGTATCTTTGCTAGAAGTTACTTTATAGAATATAATTTTCTGAAAAATGCTTTCTTGTAAATACAACTGTGAAATAAAACAACAATTAACTTTAATATAGGTAGTTTATTTATGGGTCTCAGCCCTCCTATCCCCCCTAGTTGCGACATTGGTTATGGCGAAAAATACAAGTAAAAAATGTAAAAAAAATTCTGCTTATATTTTTAGATATCTACACAAAATTGAAGATATTAACAATAAAATTGACTAAAGATAATTAAATAAATTATACCGTATGATCGAAAGAGAGGCATCCAGTTGGCTTTGAAATTGCAATTATTGATGAAATTCCGTCTATAAAATTACAGATGATATGACAGCGATCTAAATTTCCAAGCCATCTTCGACGCCGTTTTTTTTTTCAACCGTATGGTATCTTTCTTATATCGCAATAACAGAACGCAGCGTTTTCATAAAACGTAAAAAATACCTTGTATAAAACTACGAATTTTACAAGTAAAAAACTAGTTTTATTCGCGTAAAAAACTTGTTTTTTTTTCAAAATAATTTTGATCTGATCGTAACAAAACTAGTTGTTTTGCGAAAAAAACTTGTTTTTCGCGTGTAAAAAAAATTTCCTACATGCAAAAAATTGTTTTCTACTTCTACGATTTTAATCACCCATCCCTGTTTTTGATCACATTTTATAATTTTGTTTTCGGACTCATTTTTTTGCAAATTTTGGTAGCCTTTATATAATAATTATCATATATACCATACGACCGAAAAGAAACGGCGTCAAAGAGTGCTGGGGAATAACAATCAATGTAAATTTTGAAGAGGTCAAGCCCTAGACGTCATTTATTTAGCCAGTACTCTTCTTTATCTTTTACTCTATTCTCGCTCTTACTATCAGTTGGTCTTGAGATTGATATTTTTACATTTTTAAATGGTTTAGTTTAAAATTCGAAAAAGAAATTTTCGAAAATTTTAGCGTGTCTGGAAACGTTCTATTCGTAATTTTTGACAAGCTCTACGTCAATTTTTAGTAAATGACCAGTCAATCTCCAGACGATTGACCTCGCCAAAATTATCATTAATTGTGTTACCCAGCCGTCTTTGACGCCGTTTTTTTTTCGATCATTCGGCACAACATACTAAACTAAAAATTACATTTAATAAATATCTTATCTATAACCTATTATAAATGATACTCTAATTATATTAATATAACGCATAATTAAACGACTAATAATATATCCTTTGAAGTATAAAAATTATACCGTATGGTCAAAAAAAAAAACGGCGTCCAGTTGGAACAAGTTTGAAAATAACAATCGATGAAATTCCCCATTTAATTTTACATATAAAAAAAAATTACAGTTTTTTTTTGATCATATTGTATAAATTTTAATGTAATTACTCATAGAAAATTTATCGATGCTCAGAGCCTACTTGATGAGAAAACTTTTTGATTGTACTACAGTATCATAACTTAATAATTTAAAATGTTTCTGTATAAATGACAGAATTAAACAACTTTTAAAAACTGTCCTTTAACAGTTTCTAAAAAATAAAAACATATATATTTATACAAAACAAAGATTATAAAACTTTTAAAACAACATTTTCAGTGTTTCTACAAGTCTTCTTGAAATGTGTGCCGAAGAACTGTCCCTGGAGGAAAAATAGAAGTACCAGTATCAGCTGTAGTTGTTCGTTGTTATAGAATGATCTTCAACATTTTTTTGCTGATCTGAAACAAAAATAAACTTTAGTAAATAAGTTAGAATTAAACACATATAACAAAAAATATTTTACATTATTTTTTTATTACACATTTTATTACTCATAACAATATTTCTAAAAATAAATTTGTAATAAATTAATTAATAATAAAAATTGTTTAACGTGTAATCACCTAAATTTATTAAGTTCCTCTTCAATGATGAATTTTAATCTTAATCCACTGTTGAATGTTGAATGAAATCAACCTATAGGAATCTTGATGAGGGTGGTTGAATTGAAGTGCAGCTGTTCCAAGATATCCTTGTTCCAAAGCAGTACAATATCCCATTCAAAAACTCAATTTTAAAAAGAATTAGAAAATGAATTAAAAGAAAATCAATTAGAAAATGAATCCAAAAAAATTATACAATTCTCTGTAGGCAATAGAAAGACTTAGAAGTCTTAGAAAAGGAGAATAGCAGTAAAATAAACAATAAACGGCAATAGAAAATAGAAATGTGGAAATACTATGTCTTAGAAAAGTCTGACATAAAAACGTATATAAAGTCTGGCACAAAAAATTACACAAACAACACAATCATAAAGAAAACATGAGAGACAAATATAAAGAAATGGAGATATTAAGAGTTGAAAAATGGCATGAAAATGATTAAAAAATAGCCATCATTCTATAGAGGCAATAGAATTGATGAAATATTATGTCTTAGAAACCTCTCACAAAAATGACAAAAATAATATAAAAATATAGGTAACAATGATTGGGAGAGCTTTAGTACTAAATAATAATAAGATATATTCCAATAATAAAGAAATTATGACAGACAAAAAGAGTGAGTGGTAGGCCAAAAGCAAGATAGAACAATAATGATATATGAGTAAAAAATAATGAAAAATATTGCATAAAAATGGGGGTAAATTGGCAAAACGGCATAAAGAATGAATAAAAACACAAAAAATATAGAAATATATCATTGGAAGAGTATACATGACTGATATTAATATAAAGAAAATATGGTAGACAAAAATAATGAGAGGTAGCCCAAAAGCAAGATGAAGCAAAAATTAATAGCTGAAATTAAAAAAAAAAGTATGCGGTAAATAAGAAGAGATAAATTTGAAAAATACTATGCTTGGGTCTTATGCCTCCCCTCAGGAATACCTAGTCAAAATTTGACATCAATCACATAAAGAAAAAATCCTCCAGAGCATATAATTTCGCCCCCCTTCATCAGATTTAACCCTTGGGCGACGATTAAGCCTCACCAGTCAGTTCCCATCCCAGCTAAGCAGCCTCGTCTCGGGTCACCCTCGTCACCCATCGAGCGGACATCCACCGGGACCCCCTACAGGCGGACCCCCCTCATCATCTTCAATGTGTCCGATATCCCGCCCCCTGCCTCTTCGAGGGTCACGGAATACGTGCACGAAGAAGTCTCCGAGCTTGGGTGCCAGGTCGTATCCGGCCGAAGCCTCTAGCGTTAGAACACCTAGCTCGTAAACCAGAGGGTGGTGACTCCCTTGGGTACCTATGCATGCTACATAGGTCATCGATGCCCGAACATCAGGGTTAGGGGGTGACCCGGGTGTCCTCCTCTTAGGGGAGGCTAGTTATAATGCTCTGGAGTCGATGTTACACAAGAAAATGCGTTGGAAAAAAAGCTAGAAAAGTCAGAGGTGTCATCCTGTAGAAGTCAGGTTTTTGAGTAAATGGCGAATGCGCCAGGAATTGATCGAATGGTATTATGCCTACAAGTGCTAGAAAGAAGATAATATAGGAGTCAAGCTATTATACAAAAATGAAAGTTAACCATAAACATGAAGTAATTCTAAAAAAAATCATTGACAAGAAAATGCCAAATCACACAGGCCAAAAAATATTGGATATAGAATGACACGATAAGAAAAATAATAGAAGATTTATAGAAACAAAGCCAGTTAAATATTTTATAGAATCTACAGGGTTGCTCACCACATACGACACGGAGTATTGTAGCTAAACGATGAGATTTTTACAAATTGTAAGTTTGGGGTTCGTTGAAGGACTATTAGAGCTACAATTTAAAAATCTTTTTACAAGATACAGAGTGTCCCAAATAAATAAAAAATATCAAAGTTGAATTTTTTTAAATAGAACACCCTGTATATTATTACATTTTTAGTTTCTACGATTAAAATAAAGGTAAATTTGATTAAGGTTTATTATACTTAAACCTTACCGTTTTTGAAATATTTTCAATTTTGTGAAATTGCAGTAAAAATTTTACAGCTTCATTTCTCCAAGGGTATCAATGTTTTTAATACTAAATATTCAATGAAGTTTATTTATTGATCAGTTATTATGTTGCAATAATAAAAATCATACTACCTTATACAGAGTGTCTAAAAATTTATTTTAAATAATTATTAGCTTCAAACGGCAATAACTTGTTTAATTTAAATGAAACACCCTGTATATTTTACGAGAATCAGATGCACAATTTAATTGTCTATCAAATTATATTATACCATTTTTTACCTATCTCTTTAAGTTTCCGTAGAAAATGCATTTTCTTGTAATTTAGAACTTATTTATCAATATATCCATGGAATATTGACATTTTAGATTATTTTTAAAGCAACAAATGTACAAAATGTACAGACTAGTAATATTATCGTTTTTAGCAAAACGCTCATTTGTATGCAAAAAGAAAACTATTTAAATCTTTATAAAAGAGTATACCATTAATTAAATATAACACCATTATTTCCGCCCATTTACTAATTAATTACATACTTAATTGTGTTCGTTAATAAATTATTATAAATAAATGTGGATTTGAGTCAGAAATCAATATAATAATAAGTTATCAAATTAAAGTCTCTGTTGTTATAAATAAGCATTTATTAAAAAATGAAATATCATTTTTAAGGTGTTACTTTTTATCACACTGTCTAATGCCCATACAAAATTCAGTTTTTTAGTATTTGGAGCAATTATTATTAATCAACACAAACAGTCAGTTAATGTAGTTTGAACACTGGAATCATATTAATTGGTCCTCTAACAAATATTTAAACAGTTTTTTTTTTATTTTTTAATGAAATAAACGAATTATATCGACAATATTAGTATCTGTACTCTTTAAAAATTTGGTACATCTTTAAAAATAATCTAAAATGTCAATAGCCCATGGATATATTGATAAATAAGTTCTAAATTACAAGAAAATGCATTTTCTACGGAAACTTAAAGAGATAGGTAAAAAATGGTATAATATAATTTGATAGACAATTAAATTGTGCATCTGATTCTCGTAAAATATACAGGGCATTCTATTTAAATTAAAGAAGTTATTGCCGTTTGAAGCTAATAATTATTTAAAATAAATTTTTAGACACTCTGTATAAGGTAGTATTATTTTTATTATTGCAACACAATAACTGATCAGTAAATAAACTTCAGTAAATATTTAGTATTAAAAACTTTGATACCCTTGGAGAAATGAAGCCTTAAAATTTTTACTGCAATTTCACAAAATTGAAAAAAATTCAAAAACGGTAAGGTTTAAGTATAATAAATCTTAATCAAATTTACCTTTATTTTAATCGTAGAAACTAAAAATGTAATAATATACAGGGTATTCCATTTAAAAAAATACAACTTTGATATTTTTTACTTATTTGGGACACTCTGTATCTTGTAAAATTATTTTTAAATTGTACCTCTAATAGTCCTTTATCGAACCCAAAACTTACAATTTGTAAAAATCTCATCGTTTGGCTACAATACTCCGTGTCGTATGTGGTGAACAACCCTGTATAAGTTATTTACACAATTAAAAAAATATGGGAGTCAAGTTATTATAGAAAAAGGAAAGTTAACCATAAACAAAATAAAGTAAAATGCAAATAGATGGTATATGGTATATTTTATCAAGGAAATAAAAAATAAGAAATACAGTTAATGGAATATGTTATAGAAATAATAAATGATGAGATTATTTTTTGTCCACCATCAAGAAAATATGGAAGGCCAGCTATTACAGAAAAACGGCAATAAATAAAGAAAACAACGATCACAAAATAAAAAAAAAACATCTTGATGTACGCCAGCAAGTAAAGTTCTAAGTAGATACTATACCAAAAAGAAAAAAAAACCAAAGCCAAAAATTAGCCCAAACTCAAAAATAGATGGACTGAATTTTTCTATGAAAATAAGGAACCATAAAAATGTAACTCAGAGACTCATTGGAATTTTTTTCCTACTTTATTAAATTTAGAAATCATGAAATCCACTGATGAACAATAAAAACCAATGTAAATATAGTTACCCAAAAGAAATAAATTTTTGATATATTTACATAAGTGCTGATGCCATAATATGGTGGCAATATTCTTAAAAAGGATAAATGTACTGCCCTGGAACTGTATACATCCATCGATTTGTTGTACAAACTCTGTAAAAAAGAAATATATATGTATATAGTATTACATTTCATTATTATTTATATTTCCATATTTAAAAAAAAAACAAAATGTTATTAAATACATTTGATTAAAAAATCGTGGAATCATTATCAATGGAAAAAATCTAGAAAATCCAGAAGTGACATCCTGTGGACGAATCAGGTTTTTTTAATAAATGGCGAATGCGCCAGTAATTGATTGGAAATTAGAGTCCTTATTGTGAGATTTGTGTCGTGTGTTTAAATTATATTTAAACACAAGCAAACTAAACCAACAGATCTGCAAAAATTACAGAAATTCATGGCAAATGGTTTGAGAAAAATGACATGAAAATGATTCCATCAAAACTAAAATTCTGTCCAAAGAATTACACAAGCAAAAGAGAATATTACAAAAATGACACCTTAAGAAAAAAAAATGCAAATAAAAAGACCATATAGAAATGCAGTGAATGTAATATTTTATAGAATCAATGAATGATGTTAGTATTCCCACAATGAAGAAAATATGAGAGTAAAACTATTATAGAAAAATGATAGTTAACCATAAACAAAATAAAATAAATAAATTATAAGTAGATGGTATATTTTACAAAACAAATAAAAACCTATAGAAACACAGTCAATAGAATAGTTTATAGAAATAATAAATGAAGATATTATTATTCTCATAATCAAGAAAATATGGACGGCAAGTTATTATAGAGAAAGGAAAGTTAACCAAAAACATCATAAAATAAAATTCTCAGTAGATTAAGTAGGTATATTTTACCAAACAAATAAAAACCTACAAAAATACCACTCAATGGTATATATATTTGTATAGAAATGATAAATGATTTTATTCCCATAATCAAAAATAAATAAGAGTCAAGCTATTATAAAGAAATAAAAGTAAACCAAAAACAACATAAAGTTCTAAGTAGTAAGTAGATGATATCTACTAAAAAAAATGACCAAAAGTCAAAAATTACCCCAAATTAAAAATAGTTGCCTGAATTTCTCTATGATAATAAAAAACAATAAAAATGTAACTCAGAGACCGATTGAAATAGAATATAATTGTATTTATTTACCCAAAAGAAATAAAATCTTAGATATACTTATAAGTCCTGATGCATTGTTGATAATGTTCATGAAAAGGATAAATGCCCTGGATCGAACTGTATGCATCCATCGATTTGTTGACCAAAATCTGTAAAAAAAGAAATAAATGGTATTACATTTCAATCATTATGCTACAATCTTTTGATTATTTATTTTCTTTGATAATAATTTTAAATATATCTTAAATATATGGTTAGGCTGTTAATAAACATTTAATAAATTTATTAAAATTATTTTTGAATAATAAATTAAACTTACTTTTAACCAGATATTTGAAGACCAATCTCATAAACCAGAATGATGGTCAAACAACAGGATTATAGCTATAGGGAAAGATCCATATGTCTCTTCTTTTGGGTGATGATCTTTATATAATATATGTTTATTTATTGTTATAAAGCTCTCCTAAAAATATTAATTAAAGCATTATAATATACTGATGCAAAATTATTAACTTAAATGTGACGACAGGATAGTCGTGTTCAACATCTTGTGATGTGTAAACATTCTTTTTATATCAAAGTATATTATCAGGTATTATATTATATAATTATTGAGAATGGGGGGCCTCTTTAGGTATTGACTTTATTCTATACGACGTAGAAAATACTTATTTGTGTATCAAAATAAACACCTAAAAAGTTATCTTTAGGAATAAAAAACACCTTTAAACTCTACCAAAAAAAAATGGTTCAAAAAATATAATATCCCTAAATATGGAGCATTATTTTAAGTAGTAACTATTTCTTAATGTACAATAGGGACATCAAGGAAAGTATCTATATTTCCATATACTCAGCTTAGAAAAAGAAAATTACGAAAATAGGAGAAATGTATCAGCTTTTAACGATGATGTAATTGAAAGATTTGAAAGTGAAAAAACTACAAAAAGCAAACGAAATAATGGGTACTTACATTTTCAAGAGATTAAACAGGCCCTAAGGAACAGAATACACTCAAATAATATACAGAAAAATAACTTTTTCCATCAAAAAATCCAAAAAATTGAGACCAAAATATTGACATACAGCAAACAACGCAAAACATGGCGCACTGTCAACGTTGTCAGATTGAACAGATGGAACACTAAATTATTATTTTTTGCAATATAAATAATGTTGTGCCTAAAAGAAAAAATATTATTTATTCTATTGTAGTAATGCAGTTTGATAGATTTGTCTTGATTTTGTAACGGTTCAATACGTTTTCTAACGGTTTTATGCTCACAAATATCCTGAATTTGATTAGTTTCAGGACTTCGATGATATCTTGGCAACACAGGCGTAAAAAAAAACAAATGTTTCACCAATATAGATTACAAGCTGTGGTAGCGATTAATAAAACATCTGTGTTAGTTAATAAAGAAAAGTGTGTTTTATTGGTAATGATTAATCCGCTTTTACTGTAAAAATATTTTGAAAATGTTTAACTTTTAAGATTTTTTTTAGAATTTTAGTATTTCGGTAAAATTAATCGTATTGCGGTTGGTGCCATCTATGAACCTAGTGTTGTACTGTGCAAAAAGGCGTTTTATTTAGTGTATATCCTAATAGAGTAAAATTAATTTACAAATAAAGTATTTCGGCAAAGTTAACTAATTTTATTTAGTGCCATCTATGTTCTATATGAGGAATTATAGGAAAATACGTTTTATTAAACCTATATCCTAAATTTTCATAGTAACTCATTACCAGTTTTCTGTTGTACAATTATTTCTTTGTAAACTATTTCCTGATAGATGGCGCGTGGAATTTTTTTATTTTAAAGTCCCTAGATATTATTATTTGAAATTTTATTATTAAATCTAATTTTTAACATTGAATTAATTAGAAATATTAATTTTAGAGTGACTTATTTATAACATATTGATTTCTATATTATAAAATATTATAAAACTCGAAGAGTTGAAACATTTACAAAGTTTTCTAACATGTATTTTTAACCTAAAAATAAAGTGATTTTGTAAATAGTACAGCACCACAAGAAAAAATGAATATTCAAAAATTATTAAGTTTGCAAAGTACATGTTTATTAAATTCTATCTTGGTAGAGTATATTAATTTATTGTTTTATAGGGCCCACTTTCTGCATTGTACAAATATGTGGTATAAAGAATTTTAAGCCACCTGAAAACTTTGATCGTGAGTACACTATTTTTATTTGGAAAATCCAACTTCTTTTATATTATGTTACCTATTACACAATAAGCTTTACTGGATTACTCTAATGAAACTGTATATTTTAAGACTATTTTAAGGTACATTATTAATGTTATTCTCTATTGTAATACAAATACAGCTATCCATGTATAACTTTAATGATTTTTGTTAATTTAATGGTAATAGATATTGAGATTCCTGAGCGTCCAAGACTTCGTTATGTGGATAAAGTACCAACGTTACCTGCCACTGTAAAACCACCAAAAATGCAGAAAAGATTGAGATACATGCGAGGTTATGAAGATATTCACAACACCTTACAACTCAAGCAGTTTGGTATCATTGTAAGTAGTTTGTATATTTAAAATTAGACTCTCTTGTTTTTGAAGTAAGAATTTTTACAGGCTGAGGGAGGAGGTAGATTAAAATTTGGTCATTTTGAAGTAATCCGTATGACAATTGGTAGAAAAATGGACAATACTCGAATGTTTGCATTATGGAGAATAGATCCACCATGGCAGCCAGTGACCAAACGAGGTCAAGGGATGAGATTGGGAGGTGGCAAGGGGCCTATAGATCATTATGTAACTCCAATTAAAGCAGGTAAATCTATCTAAAGCTATATTGAAAACAGTACTTACCATCTAATTTGGCGATTAAGTATAATTCTCGTATACTTTTAGGAAGGGTTATAGTTGAAATGGGTGGCAAATGCACCTTTGAAGAGGTTGAACCCTTCTTGTCAGATATAGCCATGAAAATGCCGTTCAAAGCGAAGGCAGTGTCTCAGGAGATGTTGGAGGAAATGGAAGCAAACGAAAAATGGATTGAGGAAAACAACCAAAATCCCTACACGATGAAATACATTATTCAAAATAATATAGGAGGCTGCCACAAGTGGTTGTCGCCAGTAGATTTTAAATATTTTGGAAAACATCGTTAGGTCGTTTGTGATATATCAATAAATATTTTAAGAGTACAAATATAAGTAGTTTTTTGTAATGCGATCAGCTTAATATATATTAAAAATAGTTATGAATAAGAATTTATTTTATTTTACCTGTAATTTTGCAGAGGGTATGAAGCAATATCAGGCTATATGAAGATAGGATTCTTCCTTCCAAATTCCAAAAAAAAAAAATTTTAGCTGCCATCTATGAGATATTTCTGTAACTACATGCAATAGTCTATTCCATAAGACATGTCTCTTAGTATTGTAGAGTTAATTCCACATAAATTTTAATAAAGAATAAAAAATACGTGACAAAATTTACTTTTAAACGTCATTTCAACAATACCTTTCGTTCTGTAACGTAAAATATGTCAACATAATTTTTTTGTATAAAGTCATGTAACGTCATTTGATTGTTTTTATATTTAAAATTTATTTTTTTAAAACTAAATTATGAGTAACGGTAATGGTAATGATAAACCCGTTAGGGTGGGTGTAAGAATTGTACAGGAAAAGAACATATATCTAAATACTTTAATTTTAGTCACTTGAAGATCCGAATTTTAAAACATGCCTCCAAGATGCGAGGTTTCAGAATCAGAACGCAACTAAATGGTGTTTTACCATGTTCGTAGATTTTCACAAATGCGAGCGACTTCTAGGAGAAGGGTAACTATATTAATATAATATTTATAATTTATATCAGACAAATAATAAAAACAGAAAAACTAATTTATATTTAAATACTTTGATTTTATATAAACGAAAGTTCCAACAATATCCAAACTATGATACATAATACAGAACTATATATAGTTCATATCAAATAAACTTTTAGTCACGTGATTAACCTTGACCGGCACAGCGTTGCCTATTTTTACATATTTTCTTTTAATCAAAATATTTTAGGAAAAAAAATTAATTATAAATATTATATAAACAGTTATTATTTATATAAACAAAACTCACCTTTTTTAACAGCACTTAAAGGACCCCATACAGCCACGGTACGTACTATGTACGTACCGTGTTTTGTACGTAACGTTATTGTTGTTTTTATTTTTTACGTGGATTAATAAAAGATGGAACTACACTGAGTGCGCACGTGCGCTCTAGCTCTGCCAATCGAAAACGCCATTAGAAACCGCCCGACTTCCGATTCCGACAAGACTTGAATGTGAACGAATAACTTTGCGGGAAATTTAAACATAGGACTGCATAATTTTCCTGTTAGGCTTGATTGCATTTTTAACCCATCAGATTTCTTCAAAGGCTGTCATGCATTATGGTCATTGGATAATACATAGGAAATCATTTTTTTATAGTGGTCGGGTTAGATTTATTAATAAAAGAAGTAGAGGTAGGTTAGAGTGACTTGAATTAACGTTAGCCCACAGAATATACTAACGAAAAAGAAGCCCAAGTTCCTTATAATAAATCGGTTCCATTTTCGTAACGCCATCTCTCGACATAGCTGACATTTACAGGTTAGCTAAAGGGGTGCGGGGCCGGGGGGAATTGTAAAATACACTTTTTTATTTTAATTATTTTTATTCGCTATTTGCCATTTCATTTTTAAAACATATTATGTGAAACAATCACATAATATGTCTTAATATAATAAAATTACAAATGGAAACAAAAGGAATTAAATAATCTGAAAATCTACAAAGTTTATTGATAAAAAAGTTAGGCTATACAAATTGATATATTAAGTATAACCTCTTTGGTATAACATTGTTAAACAAACATTAACAAATCATAACATATCAGATCATAGAACTAAAAAAAGTACTATTACATAAAAACAGGTGATACAATACTTCAAAATTAATTTTAACATAATATCAAAACCGAAAAATCAAACTGCAAACACAACCACACTTATCACAACAAAAATTAACACACACTTCCGCGGTGAACGTCCAAGAAAGACTGATCATTCTGATTGGTTCTGGTCCAGTCGTAGCTCACGTCGTATTGTCGGTAAGCAAAATCCCTGTACAAAAATTTTGACCATCAGCGCCATCACCCGTCATAATTGGGAAACTTTTGCTGGAACCATTTTTAATATTTCACTTACATGGCCCTGCGTTAGCCTAGAAAAGATCCACTGATCCAGTCCATTCATTATTATTGGGTATATCTGACCAAAATAATCCAGTCATGATATTAAAATTAAATAACATTTTGTAATGCGTTTTCAAAAATTTAAGATACGCTTCACGTCATCAGCGACAGTTTTAGCAATTTTTAATAGTTCGTGTGTAGTGAACTTTGTATAAACTTTATTACAATGCTGATTAGTTGTTCAGCTTTCAAATGTAAAAGCAGCAGTGACAAGAAAGAGCCAGGAGTTACGTTTCATAGGTAAATAAACAGTCCGCTCCACCTTTTTAGCGTTTTCTAAAGTTTTCTTATTGAATTCGATAATTATTTTTCTGATATTATATGTACTTGATGTGTGCTATACGTCGATACTAGTTTTGTACCTTTTGTTAACATTTTAATACGTTTTTTTCGTAATTAATTAGTATGATGCCATCGCTTACACCATAGGCGTAGTCAAAACATTTTTATCAAAAATATAAATATCCCTTCAACTAGCTAAAGTTAAGAAAAAAATATGGCCACGGCACTGTTTGGTGCCATGGTAACAATTTGCTCTCGGGTGTTATTTGTCCTTGAATTCTTTATAGTCAAGCGTGATTAAAGTGTCAAAACGAATGACAATGTCAGGAAATAAATAAATGTGGACAACTTGACATTTTGTACAGCACAGCTACCACCTCTGAATCCCCAGCGTGAAATTTAAATTTCAGTTAGTCAGCACGGCGCCGAATATGTCCATTGTTGGCAACAATGAATTTAAAAATCGCGCCCTCGATTACGTAACTAAAAGTTTAATTGGTATCAAATATAGATTTTTAGGTATCTATTGATAAATAGCGTTTACTGATTACTTGTTTCTGTATCAATCATTCACAATATCATTCAAAATTGAATATATTCAGGGCCGGATCTACCTACGGGCTGTTTGGGCTGCAGCCCAGGGCCCCGAGGTTACAAGGGGCCCCCAGGCCCCGCGAAAAACAATAGACCCATAGGTGGGAACTGTTGAATCGTGAAATAAAATTAAAATTCAGGTTAAAAGTTTAAGCCCGACAAGATGGCCTTGCCACTATGATGCTGTCAAAGCCTTAAAAAATAATTATGATGACATTATGAAAATTTTCAAAAGTTTCAGCGAAAATGAGGTTGAGAAAGTTGATTTCCGGAAAGAGGCACGAAATTTATTCAATAAAATGGCGAAACTCGAGACTGCAATTTTGATTATCTTTTGGGAAGAAGTTTTGGAGAGATTTCATTTAGTTAATAAAAAAATACAGAGCCCTGGTTTAGACATTTGTGAAGGCAACAAGTTAATTGTTTCTTTAAAAGACTTTGTGAGCAACATACGACATCAATCAGATCAAATGTTACAGGAATACGACGAAAAAGCTAAAAAATTAAGTACTAGTGTAATAATAGACTAAATTACATAAACAAGAGATGCATTATCCCAAAATTTTCAGATAAGTCTACAGGTGAATTCTCAGTATACGGCGCAGAAAGATTTAAAGAGACACGTTAAAAGTTGCGTTGGATAAGCTGATTATGGATTTAAATAAAAGGAGACAAGTCTATGAGACATATAGCAAGAAATTCAAATTTTTAATGGATTTGCAAGACAAAAATATCGAAAACATAGATTTGGAAATTACACTTCATATTATTGATTACAATCCCGATGACGTAGACGAGCATTTAGTGAATGAGTGCATTCAATTAAAATCATACTTACTCCAATCTATGTCTGAGTCTTACACCTCTTGCAGTGACATTTTTATGCTCATGTATGAAAATAAACTTATTAACGTGTTCCCTAACTGCTATACCATTTTAAAGATTTTTTTAACATTGCCAATCACTAGCTGTAAAGCAGAACGCTCCTTCTCCAAGATGTCCTATGTAGAAAATAAATATAGGACAACAATGTCTAACCATCGACTAAATAGTTTATCACTTCTTTCCATAAATTGTGATCTAACTAAAGACTTGGAATGTGATGACCAAATAACTGTCAATTTCTGTGACTACTACCTATCAATTTATTTTACTAATTCATAATAAGTAAATAAATAAAATTGTTTTATTGTTTTTTTATATTCTTATAAAATATCACTATTTCGGTTTCTCTCTCACCCAAAGTTTGCCTGGAAGAGATTGCTACCACAGCAATAAGGTCGCCTTTTGTACAACTAATACTTGCGTAGATTTAAGTAACATTTATGTTACTTAAATCCACATATCACAAATACCGAAGTCTACAGCAGAATAGGCAGAGAAAGAGAATTGCTCAATATAATAAAAATAAGAAAAACATCATACTTAGGGCATATATTGAGAAATAAAAAATACCACGTCTTACAATTGATAGTTAAGGGTAAGATTGAAGGAAAGAGAGGTCTCGGCAGGAAGAAACTATCTTGGTTGAAAAACATCAGAAACTGGACTCATCTAACTTTTGAAGAACTTATAAGGAAAGCCGAGAATCGTGAAGATTTTGCCAATGTGATCGCCAACCTCCACGAAAGAGACGGCACGTAAAGAAGAATAATAATATATCATTATAGAAACAGTTTTTTGATATGGCTATTAGTTGAGTACTTATGTAGGCCCCTAAGTAGTTTCAGCCCAGGGCCCCACAAATTCACGATCCGCCTCTGAATATATTATCGTTTTATAAGTATTTATTTACAAGTAGAAGTTAAAGTTCTGCAGTCTTTGCTTTGTTTACATCAATTAATGAAGTTGGGAACAGAAGTTTACAACTTCTTCTATATCATTTATGAATCATTTAATTATTGAGACGAAAATCTTCTATTTATAGAAGCGATTGTTGTGGCCAGTTTAAGAAGGTATATAGAGCCATATGTCCAAACGAATGGGTTCAAAAATGGGAAGAACAAATTGAAGAAGGTAACTTTCCAGTGGATTTGCCAGAGAAAAGGAATAAGTAAAACTACGTAAAATGTTCTTAATGTTGTCAATAAACAGAATTATTAAATATTTTATTTATTCAATCCATAGGTATTCCATGGGTTTCAATTCAATCCATAGGTATCCATGGGTTTCCCCTTATACCATACCTTTGTGTTGGGGTCAATTCTTGAAAAAACTCTGGATTTTTTAGATCGTTTTTATCCGATAGTTTTTTCTTTTTATATGTCTTTTCCTATGGAAAAAATTGAATCATATTCAAATCTAGAATGCCACTTTATCTAAAGAAAACATTCGACCAATATACAGGGTGGTCCGAACTGTATTCCGGAAACTTTGGCAGCATATTCTTCAGATAAAAATAAGTAAAAAAGTTCGTATGTCCTAAAATGCTTAGTTTCAGAGACACAGGGTGGAGAATTTTGATTTTTATTTCGATTTTTTCGAAATAATTTCTGAAGTAACGTCAATATTTGGATGAAAATTGGTGTCTAGGAGTTTTTTGACATGAGAAATTTGATTTTGATGTCACTATGACTCCTACTGATAGAGGGAGCTACCTACGTGTGTTTTAACTGGTTTGAAGGGTAATAACTTTTCGACCCTACCTGTATAAAACTACCGAGTGAAAAAATATGCATTTACGATGTTTTTTACGTAAAAAAGATCTTTTAGTAAAAATCGCTACGAATCTCAAATTTATCATTTCAGTAAAATAACTATCTATTCAACATATTTATTTTTTGTCAATAATGAACATGTACTGACTACTTCCATTCTAAATATCTTGAGAATGGTTGCTCTTAGCGATTTTAAACAAGGGGCATTTTTTACGTAAAAAATCACGGAAATGTATAATTTTTCACTCAGTAGTTTTATACAGGTACGGACGAAAAGTTATTACTCTTCAAAACAGTTAAAAGACATGTATGTGGCGCCCTCTACAAGTAGGAGTCATATTGACATCGAAATCAAATTTCTTATCAAAAAACTCCCAGACACCAATTTTCATCCAAATATTGACGTTACTTCAGAAATTATTTGAAAAAAAAAACGAAATAAAAATTAAATTTCTACACCCTGTATCTTCGAAACTAAGAATTTTAGGACATACATTTATACGAACTTTTTTACTTATTTTTACCTGCAGAATATGCTGCCGAAGTTTCCGGAATACAGTTCGGACCACCCTGTATATATGGCCCCTACTTCAATATGGATGCGAAACATGGATGCTAAAACAAGAAGACATCAAACGCCTTAATGCGTTCGAAATGTGGATGTATCGTCGGATGCTGAGGATAAGTTGGGCCTCCAGAACAACAAACTGTGAAGTTTTAAACAGAATGAAAACTCGTGCACACCTAACAGGCACAATTAAAATCAAAAAGACTTCCTACCTTGGACATATAATGCGGCACTCAGAATATGAAGAAATAGGGGAGAATGCCCAACAGTGAGACACATTTTTTTAAGAACGTAAAAAATATTTTATTTTTTCATCAAAATAAACTATTTTAGTATACTTTAAAGGCAACCACTCTCTCCTAAACATGTTTAATTAACTACTCTCATTGAGACAAAAACATGTCTTAAAATTAACAATATTGTTATTATTGCATTTGTCTCATTGTTGGGCCCTAAGGTCTAACAGTAAGACAGAGGAAGTTTTAAACAAATAACTATTTATTAATTACTTAAGAATAGTTAAGAGTATTTATTTGCGTTTGGCATAAAACAAAGTAGAGCTGTCTTCTTAAGCAAAGAACTTAAAATATAAACACAAGTGCTAAAAATATAATTAACTTAATCAACTAACGAAATAAAAAAAAAGAGTTTCATAGATTTTTGTTGTTAATGTAACTTCGACTTAAAATAAAGAAAAACTCTGTTATATAACAATCAATAACATGATAGACATGTTCAACAATGCCAACGAGTGCCCAAAAGGTACCTATGTCCCAGTCTTAACGGGTGCACTGTCTGTCGGACAGTGTCTCACTGTTGGGAAATATATTTTGTCTCACTTCTGGACATTAACACTAGTCGGCCATTTTGTAATTTATTTTATTCTAAAACTACTTGAACAAAAAAACTTAGAGGTATATTCTAAAAAACCATTCTAAACTTACCGCTCCACTAATGGATTTATTAAAATAACTAAGTGCTGCCTTATAGACTGAAGAAAACGCACGTGTTAAAAATTATTTTTCGCTGCAGAAATTGTATTGGGTGCAGTTGACATATATCTCCCAACACTGCAGGTTCCATATTTGATACAAAATAGTTGGTATATAGGTAGTGTTTTACTCTCGAAACGGGAATTGGATTCGACGCGTTTTAAATGAAGGGGATTAAATGTCTCACTGTTGGGCATTCTCCCCTACAGCTCATAATAGAAGGAAAAATCGATGGAAAACGTAGCATAGGGAGGAAAAAGAAATCATGGCTACGTAACACAAGAAATTGGACCCACACCGACGGAACACCCTTATTCACCAAGCTCTGGACAGAGAGTCATATGCCATATTAATCGCCAACCTCAACAGAGAAGGCACCTAGGAGGAGGAGGAGGAGGAGGAGGAACTGAAATGCACCATGCCTATAGCTATAATTTTTGTACGAAATTATTAACTCTCTACATTGTCGACATTGACGACGTCATTCTCGACGTCGCGTCGCCTAACTCTCTCTCTGATTCTATATCCAGATATTAAACCAGCCCAAGCAGCATTTGGACGTCGGGACAGCATTGTGTCACGCGACCAAACGTCGGGACGCAACGTCGGCACAACCTCGTGCCAACCCTAGTCTGCACTAGTTTGGAGAATAATTTTTGGGTCGAAACGACGTTGGATACCGACGTTGGCTAGAAGCCTAATTTAGTACAAACTGCAACGTTGTTTAAAATCCTAATTCACAGAAATACAAAACTAATATGGCGTCTAAGTCGCGTTTTATCCTAAATTGGGATAATTATAGTAAAAATATTATTTTTATGATTTAGTTAGAGACATATGTCAGATGGCAGTGAAGGAAAACAAAACAAAAGTATTTAAGTGTTGAGGATGTTTGAAGATCATAATTATTGAAACACTTTAACCGACTCTGTAACTCGTTACCCAAGGCAAAAAAGTTAAACGCAAACAACTTTATTGATAAATGTATTGTTTCTACTTTGAAAAATACTAATGGGCCTTAAAATTAAAGAAGTTCCAATAATTTTCTTGAATTTTTTTTAGTAAAATGCGAATAATTTTTTCTCAGTCGAAAAAATTGTTTCCGCGTGTTTTTTAGAGTCAAATATTTCAAGTTAATGTATTCAAAAAGTAGGAATTGCTATTTCAGGAACGAAACATTTACTTATTTAACAACATGGCGGCTTTCACTTTGTTGTTTTGGAGATTAAGATGGAGTAGTTCGAGTAGTCGCATACTGGACTAATAAAGTCGCAGTTCGGCCTTAATAGGTAGTATACTAGTCGCAAGATTGCCTAATTTAGTCATCCTAGAGTCTAGCTTGTGCCGCCCTCTATAATCTAAATAAACGAGGGAGTGGATAAACTATCGGTAATATATGTCGATGTATATTTAAATTTAGTTTTATATGTACCTTTCTTATGTCCCATTTTAATTAAGTTTTTTTTATACAAACAAAAGCAGCACTGAACTGTCTGACTGAACAGAACAATGAAGTGAAAATTTAAGATTTAAGGTTATGGTTCAATACATTTGCAAAAAGGTAGTGACTCGACGTCCTACCAACGTAAGAATAAGGAAATCTAAACAACGTTGGAATTAGTAAAACAGACGACGTTTGCATAACGTTGGAATAGGTCCTGAAACTGACGTCGGAAAACTCTATATTGTCCAACGTTGTAACTACGTTGTCCGAATCACCTAAAGATCACTTAAGCAAAAAAGGTTACAAGACAACGTTTATTCGACGTCGCAGAAGCTTCTACTTTGCTGTAGTACTAGTCCAACGTCGGTACAACGTTATAAAAACGCTTAAATTTATTTTAATACCCAAGGTAGGGAGCTAACTATTTTTTGTAACTAATCCAACGTTGTGTTTAGTAAACATGTGGTCGCAAGTCGTGAAAATGCTACTTGGGAGGTTAACATTAACAGTTAACCAAACACGAGTTTCGTTAATAATTTTTTAATAAGTAAATGGCAAGACTAGAGCATTTTACATCTTGCTAATTGTATATCTTGGCTTTATCTATTAATATTGTTTGTCTGAGCTAAAAACAACTTTGTTTTTATCAAGGGATTCCTTCCAAACTTTGGCAACTACTACTGTATATACTCCAACGATATCTTGGATCGAGTTAGTTTGCATAAGAGACCGTTTCAAACGAACTAAAATAGTTTCCAGTCAACTAGCAGACGGGTATCCGATGCATAAAAGATAATGAAGCTGCAAGTGGGAGATAAGGAACAGATAGAGAGGCAATAGAGTTGAAACAGAGAGCTCTATCGGGAGAGAGGAACGTCGTTCTGTCTTAGAGCGATGACGAGATGAGCGGCAGCGAATTTCGGCTAATTTATACATGCAGTAACAGAGCTTTGCTCTCTCTGTTAGAGCTAATAGAGTCTCACGAATTAGTATGGTGGCTCTAATGGGATGCAGATTTAACGGAGAGGATTGGCATTATAGGAGCGGATGGAAATAGATTCGAAGGTTGATTGTTTGATTGGTCACTATTAGTGTCATTATTGGTGTTTAAGGAAACTTCAACTAAAAGTCCGTGTCAATTCTTGAAATACAGGGTGGTCCGAACTGTATTCCGCAAACTTCGGCAGCATATTCTTCAGATAAAAATAAGTGAAAAAGTTTGTATGTCCTAAAATGGGCTTAGTTTCGGAGATACAGGGTGTAGAACTTTCATTTTTATTTCGATTTTTTCCAAATTATTTTTTCTTGTCTGCTGCGATACTTCTAGCTTCTTGATGATCGTTTCGATCAAGAGTGAATTGTTGTACGTGGAGTCTCGCAGGGACTGTTTATCTATGATACATATATTTTTTTCTATGTTTGGAGTATCTTTATGGCATATATTAAAAGAATGTTATTATAAAATTTCTCACATTCTTATGGTATTTTTGTTTCTCGTCCAGTTGTTTTTTTTTAATATGTGGATTATTTAACAGTAAAAAGCATATCCAAATTATGACAATTCCTTTTTGTCCTGATTTACTTCCGCTTATCTGTCATTTCGACCCTTCTACGTTAAAGACCTTTCTTACTCCACACAAACCCCCAATCTTGCTGTTACCATTTCTCTTCAAAATCTAGAGGCATCTCTAGGGAGTCATCGGCATCCTCCTTTGAAGGTTATAAATCGGAAGATAAGGTTGAGGACCAGTTTTTGTGAGGCGACTTGCTAATGTTATATGTCTTCGATTATTTATGATAGAGATTTTTTTGTTCGTTCTTAATATACAGTATGTCCCAGGATCGTACTTATAGATACGTCAAAACACTTTTTTAATATTTTCATTTTGAAAAAAATTCAATCTTCAATCTTCAATCGAAAATTAAAAAATATGAAAATATGGTTGAATTTATCATCAAAACGCGTCTTGATGAGAATCCTTTAGTTTTCATACTTTGAGAGATTATTATACATGATGTCTCAGAAATATGTGCAGATGTTTTAACTGGTAATATATTTCGACCCCAGAAACACGCCTATGAGGTTTTTTTCGCAAAAGTTTTTTTCAAAGTTTGGAATTTTTTGAAAAATTTGAATTTGAAGTAAAATAACTCGTTTATTTTGGACTTATTTGAAAAACGGTAAAGAGAAACTATATTTCTTTTATCGAGATCTATCACTCCTAAAAATATCTGTACTTATTTCTGGGACAACCTGTATCTAAGGTAGAATAAAAACTGAAGAATTTGAGAATAAAACATGATTTAGTTTTCCTACACTTTATTTTTCTTCTCAAACGATTACAAGAAAAATATATTAAATCATGAAAGTACACTTTAATATTTTTTGTACAATAAAATATCCTTTGGCTAACCACTAACTATTTTTAACTAACATCCAACCTAGTAATCTAACTTTCATAGCTATAAAATAAATAAAATATATCACTTATAACTCATAATTTACTGTAACTATCCATAAATATTACTACATCTAAAGACGTATCTGTATACTCTACTTACAGCCTTATCAAAATTCGTACAAAAGTGCATTAAAGCAATGTTTGAAATAATATTTGTTAGAAAAATATCTTATACAATAAAAAAAGACAGATATGCAGAATGCTGGAAGATGTCAATTGTGAAGAGTGGCCATAACTGGCAGCTGTCCTTGCTGAAAAAAAGACAATAAATAAATTAGAATTTTTTATATTGTTATCGTGATCTGTAAATCAAAATGTTTTCACTTTGATTTATTTTTCTAAAAGTTTATTATTCATTATTAGTGATCTGAACTCCGATCTGAGTAAACATTTTCCTAAAGTATATGAATTTTCATAGAAAAGTGAATTGACTTTGTCAATCCTTGACTGATAGCTATATAGATATATAAATGAATAATACTGATAGCTATATAGATATATAAATATAGTACCTTTGTAATAAATTGCTTCCTTTTTGACAGTGTAATTGGCCTGAATAATGGTCAATTCGCATACAACTTCTGTCCCATCCAGCAAAATGTCCACAATGGCCGCCAGTTCTATCGAATATAGGCCATTGTTCGTCACTTCGATGCTAATTGTCGTGTTTTCAATCTCGCTAGAACGTAGACAAATGCACATTAGCTATTTAAGCGAGCAAATTTGTCTGGTACTTATAATTAAGTTAGATTAAGCTAATTAAAAATTATACTAATTGGGTAATTGTTCGTTTATTGCTTAGGAATAAGTACCTAATTATTTCAATTAATAATACCAATTCAGTACCTACGTAATATAATTATTCAGTTGTAAAATATTGAACAAATTAAAGTACTAGAAAATTTGTATTTAGCAATGAATTTATTAAGTAAAAGCTCACACACACTGACCTGTACAAAAAACAGATACTTTAAAAGGTTCATGTATTCGAGCAAAATAAAACACTAATTTGCCACAATACACCAAAACACTTTTGTACTGGACGCGTGTTTCACTAATCATGTTAGCATCATCAGTAGATGAATAAAACTGAGATACATCATCTGCTGATGATACTAACATGGTTATCGAAACGCATATCTAGTGCAAAAGTAAAGTATTTTGGTGTATTGTAGTGAACACCAAAGGTTCCAATCCCCAACCAAAGTCCCAACTGTAATTTTCATGTATTAGAAAAATTGGCGCCAGGAAGCACGTATAGACAGCCACACTAAAATATGTTAATAAAAAGTTGGTAGGCAGTTCTTTTATAAGTTTCAAAGTAAAGGAATTTTTCCCATTTTTTTTATCTCAAAAACTGCGACTTTGACTGATTTTGATGTTATTACAAATTTTGTTGCGAATATTATTCCTAATCTTAAATTGAAAATCGCGTTTTGCTACCTACTGTAATTTTGGAGTTACGATTTTTTAAAATTTTTAACCTCCTCCCATACCCCCTTACCAATCCCCCACCCCCACCAATATCTAATGGCCAGATTCTCGGGTGCCACAGTATATTTGTGCCAATTTGGTTAAACTCGGTTTAGCGGTTTTTGAGTTATCGTGTTTAGAATTTTTTAGAATTTAGAATGAGTGGGAGGGGGGTTAATCACGTCGACCTTACAGATCCATTGTGTCCCCCTTTCTTGAATCATAACTCATCATACAGTCCCAGGGCTTTGACAAAAGCCAGTATCTGGGACGGTTTTATAGAGGGTAGTTCTCCATCTCCAATATCAGTCGTACCAAAATTCATGGCACGAATGGTTGTCGTCTCGGCGCATTCAGTGATGAGGTGTACTGGTGTTTCACCATCTTCCCCATAGAATCTGCATTCGCCGTTTCTTCTTAGTTTCAATCTACTGAGGTGTTCATTGAGGAGACAGTGTCCTGTTAAAAACCCCGTGACAATCCGAAGATTGTTCTTACTCAGACCCAGGAAGATCTGTGATTTTTCTTGATCATAAGCCCTCAGAAACTTCTTCGAGTGTCTTAGACCATTGCAAGATTTCCATTCCAGGTTGCGGATGGAATCTTCCAAGTTCTTGAGTTCCGCCTTGAGTTGGTTACCACTTGGAAAGCAGAACGGTTCTGGTCCAGTTAGTGGAGTGTTCACTCCTTTCCTAGCTAGATTATTTGCTTTTTCATTGCCTTCTATCCCTTGGTGAGCAGGCACCCAGTGTAGGAGGACTTTGTTTTCTTTGCCTAATTTATTCAGCTTCTCTATGCAGTTATCGTGTTACAGACGGACAGACAGACAGACAGATAGACAGACAGACGGACGGACAGATGGACAGACAAACAGACAGACAGACAGACACCATGAAAATATTTTGAATTTAGGTCATTTATGACCGAAATAACTCATTTTGAGTGAAATTAAAAAAAACTTTTTTTTGCCGATCTGAATACCATATCTATTGGTATGGTTGGCTAAAAAAATGTCTGATTACCAAATTTAATATAGCAAACTAATATACAGGGTGGTCTGAACTGTATCACGAAAACTTCGGTAGCATATTCTGCAGTTAAAAATAAGTAAAAAAGTTTGTATGTCCTAAAGTGGAAATTTTTATTTCAATTTTTTCCAAATAATTTCTAAAGTATATAACGTCAATATATGAATGAAAATTGGTGTCTCAGAGTATTTTGACATGAGAAATTTGTTTTTGATGTCAGTGTGACTCTTACTTTTAGGGGGGTCACCTATACATATTTTTTAAATGGTTTGAAGTTTAGTAACTGTTTGTCCGTACCTGTATAAAAATTATGAGTAAAAAAATATACATTTACGACGTTTTTTTACGTAAAAAATGTCTATTGGTAAAAATCGCTACGAGTAAAGCTTGATTTTCATGCATCCGTTATCCGATGATACGTTGGTACGATATTAATTTTATTGGTTGAATTTAAAGACTTTGATTAGTTAGAAACGGTTAACCAATCGAAGCCTATAATTCAACCAATAAAATTAATATCGTATCAACGTATCGTCGGACAACGGATGCATGAAAATCAAGCTTAACGGTTCTGGAGATATTTGAAACCTAATTTATCCATTCCTGTCATCATTGACATAAATTAAACATGCGTTGACTAAATAGTTATTAGACTAAAATCATAAATTTGAAATATTTTTATGCCAAAAGTTTAAGAAAAACTGTTTTATCATCGTTTTTGGAAGAAAAATTTATGATTAATTTAAAAAGTTAAAAGTTCCCAAATTTATCATTTCAGTCAAATAACTACAGTACGTCTGTCCGTTCTGTAGCTACGGGGTATCCGTGAGAGGGGAAACGATATTCTCTCGATGTTTTTCGTAAAAAATTAGACGACGCGTCCCATCAATAAAAATTCCACAAATTTGCAAGTAGCCAATAAAGTGATTGGGCGGCGCGATTTGCGGTGACGTACTTGTCAAGTCGACGTATAAGATATATTGCTGTTTATTTAAATGTTTTTTGTCCGCATTCCTTTCATAGACACAGATCCAGCAGACGTACTGTATCTACTCAACATATTTTTTTTGTCAATAATGACGTATTGACTATTTCCATTCTAAATATCTTGGGAACGGTTGCTCGTATAGCGATTTTTACCAAGAGATATTTTTTACATCAAAAATCACGAAAATGTATATTTTTTCACTCAGTAGTTTTATACAGGTACGGACGAAAAGTTATTACTCTTCAAACCAGTGAAAAAATATGTAGATGGTGCCCTCTACCAGTAGGAGTCATATTGACATCAAAATCAAATTTCTCATATCAAAAAACTTCCAGATGCCAATTTTTATCGAAATATTGACGTTACTTCAGAAATTATTTGGAAAAATTGGAAATAAAAATGAAAATTCTACACCCTGTATCTCCAGGGCCTATTTTACCATAAGGCCCATAAGGCCCGGTGGTCTGGGAGGCCCGTTAAAGGTTGTAAAATGTTCATAATTTCAAATGTAAATTTACATAGCAGAGAAAAAAAACAGTTACCTCTGATGAGGAAAATAGAATTAAATAAAATAAGCTTTAGATTGATATGATTTATTTTTTTTCATTATTTATTTTGTTGAATATAATAATGTTTATTTATTTTTTTAAATTATTAAAAAAATAAAAATAATTGTTTTATTTTTTTAACCCAAACTAACAAGAGAATTTTTGAATTTTATTGGAAAAAAGAGCCCGAAATTTTGCTTGGGCCTTAGGGCCCGACTTATTATATTTCCTATCTAGCTAGGAAAGGAGCGAACACTCCACTAACTGGACCAGAACCGTTCTGCTTTCCAAGTGGTAACCAACTCAAGGCGGAACTCAAGAACTTGGAAGATTCCATCCGCAACCTGGAATGGAAATCTTGCAATGGTCTAAGACATTCGAAGAAGTTTCTGAGGGCTTATGATCAAGAAAAATCACAGATCTTCCTGGGTCTGAGTAAGAACAATCTTCGGATTGTCACGGGGTTTTTAACAGGACACTGTCTCCTCAATGAACACCTCAGTAGATTGAAACTAAGAAGAAACGGCGAATGCGGATTCTGTGGGGAAGATGGTGAAACACCAGTATACCTCATCACTGAGTGCGCCGAGACGACAACCATTTGTGCCATGAACTTTGGTACGACTGATATTGGAGATGGAGAACTACCCTCTATAAAACCGTCCCAGATACTGGCTTTTGTCAAAGCCCTGGGACTGTATGATGAGTTATGATTCAAGAAAGGGGGACACATTGGATCTGTAAGGTCGAAGTGATTAACCCCCCTCCCACTCATTCTAAATTCTAAAAAAAAAATTCTAGGGCCCGACCAGGTGAAAGATAGGCCCTGTGTATCTCTGAGACTAAGGACATACATTTATATCTCGTGTATCTCTGAGACTAAGGACATACACTTATATCTCTGAGACTAAGGACATACATTTATACGAACTTTTTTACTTTATTTTATCTGCAGAATATGCTGCCAACGTTTCCGGAATACAGTTCGGACCATCCTGTATTTTCTGATTTAATAATTATAGAATAATTTATTTAAAAATTTTAATTTCTTTTCTAAAAACCGATTCATCACAACAGCGAGGAAAATTTTCAAAGGAAATGAGAGTTACAAGGTAGATAATGTGATTTTCAACATTATAAAAAGCCAGTAACGTAAAATTTACCCCATGAGATTGTTAATAAAATAAAATACTTATTTACCTGCCATTTAGGTACAGCCTTAATTCAGGTTTCGGATATACTTCTTCTGCAGAACATATCACTTTGGAATGATCCTCAGCATAATTTGACGGATACCTCAAATCAAGAATCCTTTCTGGAACTGAAGACATTATATTTTACTTAAAAATTAACTCAATTACTTAAAAATAAAAAAGGAAACCCCATCAATAAATATATATTTTTTGTCTCAAAAATAGGAAAAACTATTTTTTTTGGATTTTGTTTTCAGAATTTGATTTTGTCTGGACGTGTCTCTGAGGATTTTTATTTTTGATATAAACTACTCGTTACCCTTATATACAGGGTGAGTCTTAAATAAGTGCAAATATTTTAGGGGTGGTACATTTCGAACCCAGTAACATGCCTATGAAGTTTTTTTGAAAATTGTTTTTAAAATTTGGAATTTTTAGTTAAAAAACATAATATCTTCATAATATGGCAACATAGCTAGTGGATTAAATTTACAAGAAAGAAAACCCAGAAAAGATCCAGCGGTTCTCAAAATGTAAGCGAAAAATATTTTTTTTTAAATTTCAAAGTAGCAGATCTCGGTTATTTTGGACTTATTTGAAAAACGGTAGAGAGAAAATATGTTTCTTTTATCGAGATCTAACAGTCCTGAGAATATTTGCAAGTTATAATATTCCCTAAATTTTTAAGCAAAAAGGTCTAATAAAATTTGGTGAAAAAGGAAAAAGTAGTACTTTTTAAATAGTCACCTTGTATATTTGACTACATCATTCAGAAGAGTATTTTTAAACAAAGTATATTTTAATCTAAAGGATATAACGGAATTTTTTTAGTCGATAACTTAAAGGAAGTTACAAATTTGGCACGACAAATCTCTTTGGCAAAAAACCAAAAATTTTGGATAATGGACTACTTATGTGTTGAAATGTCAACAAGTAGTATTTTTAGATTACTATATTTGTACTATTTAGTAACACTTTCTGTTCAATTAAAAAATGTAGGTTTTAATTTATATAGTAGCTGTATAAAGTTTAGCCAGTTTTAGCGCTGATTTCTTTATTTAAATTTGATCGCATAAAAAAATGGTCACGGTCGATGTTAGCTTTAAGGTGAACTAGATATTTAGATTAAAACCGAAAAAATGGATCTATTTGTCCAAGGTGAAGTTCACAAAGAAAAAAAATCATAGTAATTTTTTGGAAAAAAGGCAAATCTTAGGCATATAGTTTATAGGATTTCATTTCAAATAACCATTTTTTTTTGAGAAGAACATAAATACATAATATGGTATGACTTGGTATATTAGTATATGACATAAATTAGGATGGATTGAAGTATCCAATTGTTTACGGTCACTTCCTGTTTCACCGGAAATGACTACAACCAAAGAATATTTTAATACCTCTACAACTTATGATTTTTAAATGGCACCCTCGGTATTGTTGTACTTTATTCGATAGAAAATGACACTCATTAAAAAATATTGTATTTTAAATTTAAATTTAGAGTGCCATATGGTTGTGTTAAAAACACTAATTTTTAATCAAGGAGTATTGGAAAAATAAATTTGACAGTTTAATGTCATTCTATTGAGAGTGTCATTTTCTCTCGAATAAAGTAAAAAAATACCGAAGTGCCATTTAAAAATCAGAAATTGTAATCATTTCCGGTGAAAGAGGAAGTGACCGAAATGAATTGAATATGTCAATCAATCCTAATTTATGTCATATACTAACATACCAAATTTCTTTTTTTATTTCTAAAAATAAAAAAGTTATAGGGGGTGATGAGCCACTTTTGAGACGCACCTGGTATAAATTAAACTTGTTTTCGGAAGGGACACCTTGTATTTATATGGATTAAGTAATTATTTGCAATCTGGCTATAGGTAGGTACCTATATATACTAAATAGAATCAATAGCTTACTTTTCAGTGGGCTGTTTTATTGAGGAGTAAGAAAATATTTTGTATCCAGAAAAAACCTTTGGAAAACTATTTGCCTATAATTATCTCCTGAAAGGAAATGTTCATATTGTGTTTTAAATCATGATTTTTTAGTACTCAACTCTAAAAAATACTTACCAAAGCTTCCAGAAACATATGTATATAAAGTTGTGAAGGTATAAAATGTCACCATTAAAATGACATTCATTAATTTGTAAATATCTAGGGTACCTATCGTTCAAGCGCGACGTCAAATATTTTTTCTTTAATGATAATGAATAAAATTCACTAATGTTCTGTTTGGGATATTCAACCTTCAAATAAACAAAATCTAGATTCGTTCAATCTTTTTAAACTTTAATTTATTCTAGGCACATGGCTAGTTTAAAACTGACTAATTTCTGTAGGAAAATATTTGAAGGTCAGAACTGGACTGGTTCTTCTTTAAGTAACAATTTTGCATTAACAAAATTTGACAATGTTTTACACTGAATGTAAATTCGTACGAATTCTTAAGAATCAGTTCATTTTATGTATTAGTACGACCAGCGTGTTTTTTTTCCAAATATCATGCAAATTGAAAATTCATAGTCGTCGTTTCGGAATATAAATACTGTATAATTTTTTTTTATTGAAAAAGCTATAAGCAAATGGTTGAGGATTATTTTTTATATAGAATGTGGAAATACCAAAGAAGAATTAATTGAACACATACATTGAAATTACTCGTGACAAAATCGATTTAATTGTAAACTGAAAAAAAATTAATATTGTAATATTGTATAATATATTTTTGAAATGTTTCAGATACTATGAAACATGCTCACACTACTTCAATGAAAGTAATATCAATATCCGATAATTTTGTGTCAAATAGAGACAAACCAAAAAGATCAGATATTGGTAATTAAATAATGAAGCTACATGGAAAACGCCGTTAATCATTGTTTATTGGCAAACAACTCGTAATGTCGTACGACACTGACGTGAGAATTAGAGCATAACCAGCGGCGTCACCGCAAACCAAATAATTTTATCTCGATTTGATGGTTCGATATCAGATAACGGAATAATTTTTATAGAAAATTACACGTAAATTTTTAAAGTGATGAATAAAAGTAGCTTATTTTATTCTAGAGAAAAACTTGAAACAGGAATGTAGCTTAGAAAACATATATACAATAGTTCACGATTTCTGCAAACTAGAATTTTCAAATAGATATAAATTAAAAATACGTCAAATTATGTTTCAGTACCGTTGACCCGTGGTTTAAAATGAATTTTTAAGAAGTTAATTATAAATTTGTGTATATCGGATATCGCCAATAATACTAATAACGATAAAACACCTCCATTGAAAGATCGGGTATTATCGCAAATTATCGCCAATTGGATGCATAAGAGAGTGTCAAAATAAATAAATTTAATTTATTTAATGGTGATTAAATTTTAGTAGATAATAATTAGTAAATCATTGAGATACTTATTTGTTGTTGGCAAACAACTCGCAATATCATACGATTTCGATATATGTATAGCAATCAAATCAATGGGAATTCGCCCTAGCGTCACCGCACTTATTTGATGGTTTAGTCATCTGATAACGTTTCAGTTTATTTTATTTACACATCTAAATTCCGATCATGTTTAATTTAATTACCTACTTGAAACTAAAATTAGTCTAAAAAGTATTAGGCTTTGATGATGTATGTTTTTTATTGATGCCGCTTATTTTCTTTCTTGCTATTTAGTGAATTTTCTTCCAATTTTTATATATTTTTTTAGGTAGAAGGTATGGAGTGTAGAGGTAAGGAGAAATATCTTCGTGCATTAAAAATGGTCATAAAAAAGGGAAGACTTAAGATGGCGCTGCTGTAGCAAAAACCAAAAAAAATTAAAATATGCGCCGAAAATTTTTAGAACAGGAAATGATTCAAAAGAGATAAATATATGACGTGAAGGCGCGGGTTTCAAAAAAAAACAAATTTTATTTTCATGTCACATAAAATAAATTATCGATTTTTATTCAGCAGCAATAGACTGGGCTTTTAATATATAAAAATAATTGTTTTATATTCTAAAAAATAAAAACAAACCTTTTTTGGGTAATGTTTGGTTATGTTACTTTTATTCTTTTATCTATACTTTTCATTTTTTAGATTTATGCGCCATTAGCGCCACTGTGGTTATTTGGTGAAACCTTATTCTTTCCATTTTTGTGACCACTTTCTCAAATAAAATCCTATAAGAGATATTTCTCCTCATCTCTACACTGCATAGGTGAAGGCAACCAAAAATACGATTTTTTTCTCTTGTATCATATGCTTGAATATGCTTTATATTATATATCAGTTTGCAACTGGAAACTTAAAACTTAACTGGAAAAGTATTAAGGTTGTCGCCCACTAGACCGCGGCGCGACGCGGCGCGGCGCCATGTGGAAATTTCTTTTGTCTGCTTGCCATGTATTTAAATGGACCAACGCACATTAGAGCGCGCAGCGCAGAAGCGCGCCGCGGGATTTCCGTCAAGAAGTCGGAAGACTTCTCTAGCAACTTTTTTCCGTCTCCCACGTTTCGGCGCGTTGCAGTGTGCGTACTCACAAGGGGAATAATTTTGCATTCGAGTCTTTTCAGTTGGCTTTTTGACTAGGAACTAGTGATATGTATCAATAGCAGAATTGTATTTTTAAAGGTAAATTAGGCAAATCGATTTTCATAAAGGAATATGATATATTTTTTAGTCTTCCCTGACTAGAGACAGATGGACGAAATGCCTTTCTATCAAAGATTTAATATAATTGAGGGGTGTAGAGGCAAAACTGGCAATCTCCACTTTTTAACAAAAGTGACAATCTCCAATTTTTAAATTCTAATTACCTAAATATATAAAAAAGATCAGGGTTTTTTTGACCACATAACTAATATACACATCAGAATAAATAAGAATTATCAAAAATATTAGTAATTTGTCTCTTCTGAAAAAATATGATGAGTAGATATACCCGGTGTTTTTTCTTCTAAAACCCTCAATTGAGGAGTGCGTAAAATGTTTCCTTTATATTTTGTAATACTGAAAAAAATGATTTTGTCTTTTATTAAATCTGGAAAAAGATGGTAAAATTCTCCAAACTTCTTTCTTTTTCTGTTAATCGTATGAGTCCAAACTTTTCCTCACCCCCTCTTCCATTTCCTCTGTTAGAAGAGCACAAAAAATACGCTTTCGTCCGTACTTGAACTCATTGCTTTAAAAACTAAACTACAGTAAGTAAAAAACACTTCGACTATAACTAAATAGCGTTGCCGCGTTTCAAAAGCGCGCTATAGTGGGCGCCGTCCCTTCGCAGCCGGAAAAAAATCTCTTCCCAGCGCCGCGCCGCGCCGCGCCGCGTTCTAGTGGGCGACAACCTTTAAAATACTTCTTGATAATAACTTACAATTTATAACATTGATGTTCAGTGCTACCTACAACAAATAAAAAAATGGTATTTAAGGTAATTACAAAAGAAACGATTTTTTAAAAAAGCTTTAATATCCTGTATCTTTAAAACTATTCTTTTAACCATTCCTAACCATCATTGAGACATTACCCCTTGAAATTGTCAAGTAAAATCTGTCCAGCAAGAAGATACAGTGACAGTTGTCTGCCATTTTAATTTACAAGAAAATCGTTTTTTTTTTGCGATTTTTCGTCTTTCTTCCCTGATCCTTTGGACAAATGCAATTGCGTTACACTTAAAGAAAATAATTTAAATATTTGCTGCAAGATAAAATGAAAAAAAAAAAATAATAATTTGTGTCGTTGTTAAACGTTTCATTTATATAAATTAATATCTACTAATATTTGTTGAAAATTCCGAATATAGAACGTTGCTGTTTACAATAATGTATATCATAAGTGAACAATGAAGTCAAAAAATGCAAGTTTATTATGATGAAAACAATGAGGAGGCATCAGAGCTGCTTTGTTTATATAGATTAATTGCATAGACGTTTAAATTTAAGATTACCTATTATTATATATTATTTTTGAAACAATATTGAACTGATGCAGATAGATGTTTATTTTGCGGATGACGAATAACTGATATTATACAGGGTGAGTTTCCTACGATGTTCTCTATGGGTATCTCGGAAACTACTGGAGATAAAGAGTCGGTTAAATGGGGAAAGAATTGCAGTTTTGTGGGATTACAAATATGCACCTTTCAGAATTTTGAAAAAGTTTATGGCTTACTAGATATTTCAAAAAAAACAAATTTCGGTTATTTTAAAAATTGTCCCTAATTCCATTATTAGCTATTTTAGACGAAAAGTTTTCAGATAAAAGTTGTAGAAGAAAACATATTATAGCTTATATCGCTGAAAAGCTTAAAAAATGGCGCTTTTTATGAAGTCATGGCCAACTATGGTTTCCATTTAAAAAAAACATATGTTTGTGTCATATGTCAAAAATGACAGGCTTTAGAAAAAACGGAGGACACAGTCTCATTAAGAATGTGATTATCTATAACTTTTATGTGAAAACTTTTTGTCGAAAATAGATTATAATGGAATTAGGGACAATTTTCAAAATAGCCGAAATTTGTTTTTTTCGACTAACGCTTTTGCTACTTGAACTAACGCTTTTGCTACTTTTTTAGACTAGTGAAATGGACTCTTAACCATTAACAAATTAAATTTCGAACTTAATCAACGATTTGCATTTCTTTTCAATTGTCATTTAATTAATTACATTTACATTATCCTTTAGTGTTTTTGTGTATTTTAAACAGGTCTTAATTAGTCAAAATGATTAACAGTTTTAAAAAACAAACCATACCATTCATTATTCATTTTAATATAAAATACCATTGTCTGTCATCATACATTTTCTTAAGTAAAGAATGAGTTAAATCGCAATGAAGAACTTACCTGAAAAGACTGTTAACTAGTGTGGTAATATTACTGTATTTAGATAGATAAAAATTTAGTAGATATAATCTTCTAATATCTAAGAATAATTTGGGTATTTCGCGACTAAAACAGAAATATAAAAAAACCTGAACCGTCAAGAATTTTTGTGCAATTTTTTTATTAGTAAAAAGTCACATGGTTTTAACTGAATAAGACTGAGACGGTACAGCGACGGAACTGGAACATGATTGACACGTGTGGACAACAGACCTTAGGCCTTAAAAATTATGTGCCTTAAGCCCCATACTCACACTTCGCTCCTTCCTCGCCTTACTTCCTCGCGTTACTTCCTCGCGTTCCTTCGTCCCTTCGCTTCCTTCCTTCGTCTATTCGATGCTTGGAAATTAGTCAGCAACAACACACCACAAAATATTTTTAATATAGCAGCTACATGTTTAATACGAAATATCTAGTAACCTCTAGAATTTTTAAAAAGTCCGAAAGGCGCATAATTTTTATTTTATAAAACTGCAATTCTTTGTCGTGTCAAAAAAAAAAAACAAAAATAAAAACTACGAATGAAATCCAAGATCGATTTAAATATTTTATATATTTTAATATTTTTTTGTGTTCGTGATAATTCCTTTGCTACTTCCTCCAAAAACCGACAGTACGTGGAAGGACCGTTTCGAGGAAGTAAACAGACGAAGTAGCGTTTTGACGAAGGAGGAAGGAACACACAGTCGCATAAAATCTACATTTTCCCATAGTAAATATATGATTTTTGAACGAAGGGACGCGAGGAAGTAACGCGAGGAAGGAGCGAAGTGTGAGTATGGGGCTTTACATCGGTCACATTTTTTTGCTTGGTTTATCACATCATATGGTATATAATCTTTTTGTAAACAGTATTTTTGTTTTTCATGTGTTATAAAACTATAAACAGTTATAAAAGCGTCGAAAAGTCGATTGAATCGCGTGAGTGGTTTGATTTATAACCCGACGCCAAAAAATACTTCAAGTCTATCAGTCCAAACAACTTCAAACATCCTGATTTTCAATCTTTATTTTAAAAATAGAACCTTTTAATTCAAACGAAAAATTCCATATGTACCATTTTATTTTCTTTTAAAAAAATTATTGACATATTATTAGTTATACCAAACGAGGGTCTAAATTGTTGCCTCAAATTTTATACAATTTACACTAATTAAAAAATATAAATTATAAAAAAAATATAAAAAAAATAATAATTTTAAACAATATTTATATAAAATTAAACTCATATTTGATTTTGGTAAATAAACAATTAATATGATAGGCGAGACAACAACCACATATGGTGTGACAGAATTGATATTTAATTTATTTAATCATCCAAACAAATAAACGATAAAATTAATCACCAACAATTTCAAAATAATTACTATAATTAGATAAACGTTTCAAATAAATAATTATTACATTTTTAATTAGATATATTTAAAGTAAACAACACAATAATTTTAATAGGGCAAGTAATCCTGTATTTTACAATTTTTTATATTATGTTTCTGTGTTAAATATATAAACAAATTAACGAGTTATTTTGACATATAAGATTCTTGCGTCACAGAGACTTACAGTGGCGTATTTACAAAAAAAATGTTACTATTATATTTTTTTGTTAATACAGTTCACACTAAATAAACTTTTAGTCACGTGATTAAGCTTGATTGGCACAGCGTTGCCTACTTTTATATATTTTCTTTGAATCTAGTCTCTTCTTTTCTTTAAATCCAATCTGACGGTGTATCGAAGCCTTACAGTGTTGCCACCTTTTCTGTTTTTGTACACAATAAATTACGACAACTAATGTTAATTATATCAGTAGCATTATTAATAGTTCTAGAAAAACGCACTATACATTTTTACACTTATTTTCAAGTAGGTAAACTGAAAAAACAAACCTTAACGTGTGAGCCGTTATTATTTTATATATTCACAGTTAAACAACTCGGTTATCCTTAATTTGTTTTAAAAATAGTAAAAAGAAAATGTGTTTATTCTTTCCAGAACTATCCTTTAATATAAATGCACTTATTCAAGAGAGATACCCTGTGTAATCTAATCTCTCACAAACTCAATAAACATAATATGTGATTTGTAGCTTTTTTCTTATTTCTTTTAACTAAAAAGAATCATATAATATAGTAGGTGTAGTGACTCTTCATAAATTCGCAAATTATCAACTATCTAAATGAGGAAGTATAGTTTTTTTATAAAATCTAGGCCAATGTCTACCAGACAATAACATAGACGAATAAATCAAAATAAATGAATATCAAATATATTTTCGAGCATTTTGTCATCCTTAAAAAATGTAATAATCGATTGAATAATTTTAAATAAATGTATGTACAAAAAAGCGCGCATTTGTGTTGTACTGCGTGCTTCAATAAACTATGTCCAACCGGTCAGAGAAGATTTTGACAGACAACACAACAGGGTGGGTCCTAAATAACTGCAAATATTTTTAGGGCTGGTAGATCTCGATAAAAGAAACATATTTTCTCTTTACCGTTTTTCAAATAAGGCCAAAATAACTGAGACGTTCTACTTTGAAAATTAAAAAAAATGATTTTTTGCTTAAATTTTGACAACCACTGGATTCTTTCTGGGTTTTCTTTCTTCTAAATTTAATCTAATATCCCAAGTAGCATTTTCACGACTTGCGACCACATGTTTACTAAACACAACGTTGGATTAGTTACAAAAAATAGTTAGCTCCCTACCTTAGGTATTAAAATAAATTTAAACGTTTTTATAACGTTGTGCCGACGTTGGACTAGTACTACAGCAAAGTAGAAGCTTCTGCGACGTCGAATAAACGTTGTCTTGTAATCTTTTTTGCTTGTGATCTTTAGGTGATTCGGGCAACGTAGTTACAACGTTGGACAATATAGAGTTTTCCGACGTCAGTTTCAGGACCTATTCCAACGTTATGCAAACGTCGTCTGTTTTATTAATTCCAACGTTGTTTAGATTTCCTTATTCTTACGTTGGTAGGACGTCGAGTCACTACCTTTTTGCAACTGTATTGAACCATAACCTTAAATCTTACATTTTCACTTCATTGTTCTGTTCAGTCAGACAGTTCTGTGCTGTTTTTGTTTTTATAAAAAAAAACTTAATTAAAATGGGATATAAGAAAGGTACATATAAAACTAAATTTAAATATACATCGACATATAATACCGATAGTTTATCCACTCCCTCGTTTATTTAGATTATAGAGGGCGGCACAAGCTAGACTCTAGGATGACTAAATTAGGCAATCTTGCGACTAGTATACTACCTGTTAAGGCCGAACTGCGACTTTATTAGTCCAGTATGCGACTACTCGAACAACTCCATCTTAATCTCCAAAACAACAAAGTGAAAGCCGCCATGTTGTTAAATAAGAAAATGTTTCGTTCCTAAAATAGCAATTCCTGCTTTTTGAATACATTAACTTGAAATATTTGGCCCTAAAAAACACGCGGAAACAATTTTTTCGACTGCGAATAAATTATTCTCATTTTACTAAAAAAAAAACTCAAGAAAATTTTTAAAACTTCTTTAATTTTAAGGCCCATTAGTATTTTTCAAAGTAGAAACAATACATTTATCAATAAAGTTGTTTGCGTTTAACTATTTTGCCTTGGGTGACGAGTTACAGAGTCGGTTAAAGTGTTTCAATAATTATGATCTTCAAACATCCTCCACACTTAAATACTTTTGTTTTGTTTTCCTTCACTGCCATCTGACATATGTCTCTAAATCATAAAACTAATATTTTTACTATAATTATCCCAATTTAGGATAAAACGCGACTTAGACGCCATATTAGTTTTGTATTTCTGTGAATTAGGATTTTAAACAACGTTGCAGTTTGTACTAAATTAGGCTTCTAGCCAACGTTGCACTTATTTAATAAGATTCGCCCTGTATACTTTAGAGTATGCTGAAGTATGTAATTCTGTATAAACTTTTTTACTCAATATTTTTTAATATTGTCGTAAATATTTCATTTGTTGCAAACCTCTTGGCACACCCTCTCCATAAAATGCAAAAAAATCTCCTCCCACAAAATCACGCGTTTCTTCTAATTTCTCTCCCACTTTGAACCTCCAACATACTACGACCATGACGACACAGATTTCTAACCGCGTCGACTTGGCAACGTCCAAACAGTTTTCAGTTTTTATCCGGCGCTGTGCGAAGCGTCCGTCAGTGTGACAGCCGGGAAGAGCGAATTTGTTATTGCATCGAATTTCGTCCGGTTTTTTCATCAGTGAACAGTGAAATTTGCAGTTTTTTCAAGAGAAACGACCAAATCATCAGTGAGAAACAAGCAGGAGAGCGAGATCGGATCAAAATAAGGTGTGTTTAGGTGATAAAGAGGTTAATTGCTTGTTGCCAAATGTGCCCGTTTTGTTTTCGTGACTCACGAGGGAGGTTTTGTGTGTCATAGGGGTGGTGTAAACGTGTGTAATCTAGGTTTTAGGTCGTGTTATGATTGTAGAGTACCGGTAATTGTGTATTAAGCCCTATTACTTTATTCATTTAATTTGCCATTTTTTTTTAAACAAAATATCACTTCAACAAGTTATCTTTTGTATTTTTGTTTAGTTTTTAGTTCCTTTTATAGAAACTTACGTAGGAATAAAGGTATGCATATGTAATTTTATTTAACATACCTTGTTATTATGCAAACCGTTAGTTCCTCTCTTGTTTATTTTTTTTCTAAACCCAGAACAACTGTTGTTAAAAATTAATGCAATAATTTATTTAAATCTTGTCAAAAGCCATTCCTTCTCTAGACGAGTGGTTCTATGTGTCATTTCATTATTATTGCTTGTTTTTATTTATATGATTCTTCTATTTAGGTGTTTTTTTCATGGAACAACTTGCGCTGGAATCAAGTTCATTTAAAGCAGTTAATGCTTCTTAACAAGGGCAGTCTTTCTGTCATAGAATGACTGTAAATGTTTTATTATTTAGTGTCATTTTAGAATGAAATGATTGCCCTCATGAACACCAATAGGACAATAGGTAGTTCATATTTTTTCATATTTCTTAATCACAATTTTCGTGTTTGTAAATATAAGTTTAATTTAATTACAAATATTTTTTGCGTTAGTTTTTAGGCGAGTTAGGCAACTTAATTTTGGATCTTTTTAAAATAAATAAAATAATTTCTTGTAAATGTGGCAACATAGGTAGTTTAAAAAATTGCAAAACAACAGCAATTCGGTGGCTATAAAAAAGTGAACATTTTTTTGATTTTCAAACTCAAATAATTCGCATGTTTTTTGCTTACTTATTTGAAAAATGGATAAATAGTAAATATATTTCTTTAATCAAGATTTACCATCCTATCTGTGCGAATGTAGGTCCAAAAAGGACTAAATTTAAAAAATTTAGCTGAACAAGAATAATTCTGTGGCTCTTAAAATGTGAACATTTTTTAAAATTTTTAAACTCAAATCTCTACTCGCATATTTTTTACTTATTTGAAAAATGGTAAATAGTAAATGTAGGTATTTCTTTTATTAAGATTTACCATCCCTGAAAATATAGGTTATATCGGGGGTTTATGAAGTTTTTTTTATGAAAATATAATGTTTTGAATTACGGGGTGTTAAAATTTTATAAACAAAAACGTTTCTTTAAAAAAACAATTCTCAGTTCATTATTTCTTTCTTGCAAATTTAACCTACTAAGTATCTATATTGCGATATTCTGAAGATATTATTATTATGTTTTTTAACTAAAATAAAAAAAATCCAAAAAAATTTTCAAAAAATTCTAAATTTTCAAAAATTTTATTTGCAGTTCCACATTTCGTAAAAGGTATGGATTTTTTTTAGTACCTAAATTAGAAAGCACTCTCCTAATTATTATTTAGTTTTTTTTTTATTGAAATAACACTCTGTATAATGCATATATCACAATTAACTTGTTCCAATAACTTTTTTTATTTTTTTCTGCTTATTTTGTTAAATCAACAATTTTGCAAATTCTATTAGTAATTTCTCCGAGTATTTTTCTTTAACTCGACGTCAATTCAGGTTAAATCTAATTATTAATTTCCTTTTATAGTACCTTCGTAAGTACGCATATGTTAAATATGTATAGTAAGTACCGTTATTATCTTTCCTGTATACCATTCGCCGAAATCAGATCAAATGCCTTTAACCTCAGTGGAATAATTTAGTAAATAAATTGTAGTACTATACCTAGGTACTTTTTTTTTGCTTTTTTTCTAAAGAATACTTTCTTTTATTTAATTATGGTCAAGTAAACACGAAACTAATAATTGGCTTGTTGTCAACTGCCTAATTAAAATGAACCTTTACTCAGGTAAATTGCTAGAGTAGTTTTATTGTAGAGGCTAAGAAATATATTTACTATTTACCCATTTTTCAAATAGGTATGTAAGTAAAAAACATGCGAATTATTTGAGTTTGAAAATCAAAAAACTGTTCACATTTTGATAGCCACCGAATTGATCTAGTTTTGCTATTTTTTAAACTATCTACATATGTTGCCACATTTACAAGAAATTATATTATTTAAAAAAAATCACACTTACTCCGTGAAGAAGGAAAATTTAGATTTTCTGTTAATAACTTTTAACATAATCTAATTAACACATTAGATAAACAACACAACTGTTATTTTAACAAGAGTATTTAAAATAGTAATAGGTAATTCTCTTTCAAAATACAAACTTATTTTTGAGCTTATTTTTTTAGTACCTTTTACTTTAAAAATCACTTAAAAATATGAGTAAAATAAAAAAATATGAGATGAAGTGTATTGTATTTCAATTATTATAAAATGTTATAACAAAATTTGGGTATGAGGCTATATCAGCAAACAGTACATGAATATATCTTTTGGATTTAAAGCAACTAGTGGCAACGTTGTGAGATGCTGTGATTTAAGAGCACTTTGGATTACGAAATACATAAATTGAATATTTAAATTAGTGTTCAAGATTTCAATTGCAGAATACATAATGTCCTTTTTGTTTGACAATAATTGACAGCTATGTTTTATTAATGGCATGAAAGTTTAATAGATACGTATTAAATGTATAAAATGTCACCAATCGTCATTTTCCATATAAAATTACATCAATCAGCAATCGACACGAAAGAGAATTAAAAAATATTAACTCAAAACTGACAACTAAAGAGACAGCTTTATTTATTTGTCAAATTACATAGAAACCAATGCCAAATGTTGTTTCTGAATTTTTTTTTATAAAATTCTTAAAAAAGTTATATCAATCAATGTCTGATGGGTGTCCACAAAATATGGTTTATTCACCTTAACTTGTAGTTAGCCTCTTAAAAGTATATAATGGAAAAGAAAGTCTACTCTTCAAACTCTGTTTGATAAATGTCCAACAATAACAATAATAACGTCTCTTGACAACCTCGCAATCGAAAAAGTGCTATTTAGAGAGTTGACACGGAGAATGCAGTTTTTTAATTTGTTAATGCTTTAGTGGCTAACGCGTTTTAATGGATTCATAAATTGGTGAAAGTAATTGTTTAGGAAAGTTGATTTTTAAACACAGTACAGTACTTAGGTAGTTACTGATTTTTTTTAACTATTATTGGTAATTGTCATCTTTGTTTGTCTATGATTTCTTTCTTTAATTTCTCTGTGAAATTTTAGTAATAGCAAAGGTAATAGTTACTTTCCTGGTTAACTTTGGAATAAATAATAAATCATGCAAGATATTAGAAAATCGACTACAAATTTTTATTTATATTAAAGTTATTAATTTACTGTGTATGTACTTAATTAATCTGATTAATTTAAGGGTACCTTTGAATCTTATTTGGTTACAGAGAATTTGGTTATTTCTTTATTTGGTTATTCTTTGCTTGTTTTTGGTTAATTGGGGTATTTATTTGTGAATCCAGTGAACGTTTTTTAAGGATATTCATTTTCATAGTCAATTTTTACAATGCGAAACCGTAAAATCATATCTCATATTTCAAAAAAAATCCGTTTAACAATAGCTTCTTTAATTACATATGTTAATAACAAAATAAATATTTATACAATATTGAAATGTGCAGTGACTTATATTGTGACGCATTGTAGGAAATACTAAATACGGAAATATTCTGTTAATGATATTGTTATTTTTTTATTTATATTATTGAAATCCTAAAACAGTAAAATCATAATTAAAATTTGAAGAGCAGAATATTGTTCTGCAATATTTTATAATTATCTAGGTAAATAAATCGGTACATAATATAAATAAAACTGCAACAGCACAATTGAATTTTATCTCGTTTGTTTTTCAGATCTTTTTATTTATTTTAATTATATTTAATTAAAATTTAGAATCTCAAGGATCATAATCATCATTAGTAGTTGTTTGTTGTGTTTTACGTAGTAAACGGGTATATGTTTATCCAATATTGTTTATATTAAGTACTTACCAAAATATATCTGGTGATTTTCATTAAAATTCAGATCACAATATTTTTGATATTCGGCATGTTCTAAAATTAGCCCATTATTTCCAGAATTATTGTTATATGTAGTTCCTAGAGTATTTAAACGTATCAAAATATGATGATTATGATGTGTGTATTACCTATTTTTAATTCGAAATTATGCATTTGAGCTGTACTAATTTTATCACTGACCACCATTTGTTTATTGATTAATTAATTTTGTATAACTATAGTTTGAAGGATATAAATCCAGGTTGACATGCACTTTTAAGCTTTGTGAAACGTAATTTTCATGTCATAAAAGTGAGAAATTGTAAAATAATGTACTTATTTGTATCACTGTATTATACTTTTCTATTTTCTATTAATGTCTGTTATTCCATATTCTGTTTTGCACTCTATTTATCGCACAGTACTTTCTATAGAATTGAGAAATTTAAGATTAATTATAATTAATCTTAAACAATATATAAATAATAGGTATACAGTTCATATGAAATAAACTTTTAATCGCGTGATTAAGCTTGACTGGCACAGCGTTGCCTACTTTTATATATTTTCTTTTAATCAAAATATCTTAGGAAACAAACATAAATTAAATAATTATAAATATATAAACAGCTATTATTTACATCAACAAAACGCGACATCTTAACAGCACTTAAGGGACATAAAGGACCATTACTACCGCTTTTCCGTTCAAAATATTCCAATTAAGCTGCGATGAGTTTTTACGGCTATTAAGCTATCTTGTACACTTCGCACTAAAAGAGGTTTTAAAAAGAACAATGTTCAGTGGAACATTGTTCTTAACATGTTTACAGTTACAAATGTTACATGTTAAACGTTACATGTTAGCAGACCTTACAGTCGCTAACATGTAATTAATGTTTACTAGCAAATAAATAAATAAATAAAATATCACAACACAATTAATTTAACCCACAAAAACTCGTAATACAAAACTAAGGTGGCAAAACGAATGACAATGCCAGGAAATAAATAAATAAATCGGGCAACTTGACATTTTTTACAGCAGAGCTACCACCTGAATCTCCAGCGGGAAATTTAAATTCCAGTTTGCCAGCCCGGTGAAGAATATGTCCATGGTTGGCAATAATGAATTTAAAAATTGCATCCTCAATTACATACAATAGTAATAGTTTAATTGGTATCAAATATACTTCAAAATTGTGCTATACCAACATTGTTAAAATAAAATACAGGGTGGCCCATCGAAAACGTTCCGCAAGGCATAACGGCCAGGATAATTTTTTTTTCAGAAAATTCAAAAACACATCAATTTTGTTTGTGAAATATTATTGCAAAATCTTCAAACCTCTAAGCGGGGGTGTCATCCCCCGATTTTTTTCAAATGGGAAGGGGGGTCAAGTGGTAGCGCAATGAAAAGGGCTTTTTATTCTCTATAATTTCCTGCTTCGTTTTTGAAGATCGGTCGAGTCGTTGGGAAAATATGAAGGATTGAGATTTGAAAAGTTTTTTAAACATTTATCAGAATAAATGATAAGGATTGTCGATCAATTTGCTGTTTTTTCTTATTATTTCTAGATGTTTGCAATCGGGTTGCGCAGATATTCAAACACTTTTATGGCAAAATTGTTCGCCAGTTAGTAGCAAAATTTCGCGAAACTGGTTCCGTTATGAATAAAAAGAGGCAGAGGGAAAATCCTGTAGTAAATGAACCTATGGAGGTATTCATATTGAGCCAAGTTGCCATGGACAGTATTCTGAGTACAAGAAAATTAGCCAATAAGACCGGCGGGAATCGTACAAGTTTCCAAAGGATATTAAAAAAACACAAGTTCCACCCGTACACAATTCAGTTGGTACAAGAACTCAACGAAGACGATTTTGATCGTTGCTTGCAATTCTGTGAAGCTATGAGTGAACGAGTGGCGAATGATAATTTCCTATTTAATGTGTGTTTTTCGGATGAGTGTACTTTCTTTTTGAACGGTGTAGTTAATCGGCACAATGGTCGGTACTGGGCTGAGGACAACCCCAGGGTTTTTCACGAGGTGCACACACAAAACCCTCAGAAATTGAATGTGTGGGCTGGTATTTTTGGAAATTCTATTGTAGGTCAGTTTAACGATATTGAGAAGAACTTCAACGTACAAGTCACAGAACAGCTATCTAGCAACTACCGCACCTGATCGCACCTCACAAACAAAATTGACGTGTTTTTGGATCTTTTGAAAAAATAAATACCCTGGCCGTTATGCCTTGCGGAACGTTTTCGATGGGCCACCCTGTATATTGATGTTAAAGTCTCAATTCAATCTTGTTGATATTCACATGAAATTGGCTTAAATAATAAATTGTTGCATTTAGATTGAAAAATTGTTTGTTATGCAACTACGATTATATTTAGATTTAAACTATAACGGTTCTAAATTGTATCATGTTGCCGTTAACTGATTCTTCAAAATAATATTTTGGAAGTTGTGAAAATTATCTACTAGCGTGTACCCGCGACTTCGTTCGCGTCGAATTAATAATTTGTAATGGTGATGATAAAGCCAAGCAAGAATTTCCATTAACATACAAACTGGATAAAATTTTCGCACATTTGCCAAAAATAAGCTTTAAACGTCGAGCAGTTTAAGCAGAATCGTGGTTAATCAATACCTAACTTTTTGGAACACCCTGTATGATTTTTTAAAAAATTTCAAAATAAAAATAAAAGTAAAAAAACTAAATAAATTATGCGTGTTCTCGAAAGACTAACCGTTTTTTAAATAACAAATATTGTAATATTTGAGGGGCGTTTTCACCCTCTTTTTTTTCTCTCCTTATCGAACCTCTACACCCCACAGTCACTCCGTTTATCAAAAATCAGCTTTAAACATCAAGCAGTTTAAGCAGAATCGTGATTACTCAATGGTCATATTTTATGAAACACCCCGTATACATTTTTAAAAAATCTTAAAATATGTAAAACAACAAAATAAAATATAGGTGTTTAAGAGGTTTTTCCGAAAAACTCACCGGTTTTTAAATAAAGAATATTTTAATATTTGAGGGATAGTTTCACCCCCTTAGAATTCGAGTTTCGAAAAATCCCTTCTTATCGAACCTCTACACCCTAAAGTCAATCTGTTTTCCAAAAACCAGCTTCTTACGTCAAGCGCTTTAAGCAAGATCGTGATTAATCAATGACCTGATTTTTCAAAACACTCTGTATACATTTTTAAAAATCTTAAAATATGTAAAAAATGTAAAAAAACAAAATAAAATATACGTGTTTAAGCGTTTTTTCGGGAACTTGACCGTTTTTTAAATAAAAGATATTGTAATATTTGAGGGGTGGTTTCACCCTCTTGGAACTGGAATTTCGAAAAATTCTTTCTTATCGAACTTCTACACCCTAGCATCAACCTGTATGCCAAAATTGAGCTTCTTACGTTGAGTGGTTTGAGCAGGATCGTGATTAATCAGTATGTCACTTAAGGATTTTATATAGGGGATTTTATACAGGGTGTTTCAAAACAAATGCGAAAAACTTCAGGAGTTGATTCCTTGTTCAAAATAAAGGGTAGTTTGCTTCATAAACGTTGGGTCAAAAGTCAACCATTAGGGAGATATTGCGGCACAAAGATGGCGGAAAAATAATGTTTTTATTTTTTATCTTGAAAACGAAAAGAGATAGACTAATAAAATTTTATGGAAGCATTACTGTTACGACAACACACTTTCTGATAATTTTTTCACTTTTTTAAAATGAGTGGAAGGGGTTGAAATAAACTACCCCTATCATTCTTGTTAACGAAATTTAAAGAAAAATCTTATCAATCACATGCAAAAAAATTAATTTGGATAGTTTAGTTTGTTTAGAAACTTTTTTATCTCTGGTATTTTTTTGATAAAACTCACCGATTTGAAATTAAAAAATAAAATGTAAAGCATTACATGTCAGGACAAAAAAAATTTTCTGATAAAGAATCTAGTGGGCTGCTGTAATTTTTTTAGAAAAAAATCTAGTCGGCCGCTGTTACTTTTTAGGATGTTCCTAATATTATTTTATTTGACATTACTCTACTGCAATACGTTATTATCTAGATGATTATTATTATCGTTATCACTAGATTCTTAATCTAAAAATGTTTTTTGTCCTGACATGTAATGCATTACATTTTATTTTTTAATTTCCAATCGGTGAGTTTTATCAAAAAAACACAAGAGGTAAAAAAGTTTCTAAACAAACTAAACTATCCAAATTAAAGTATTTGCATGTGTTTGATAAGATTTTTCTTTAAATTTCGTTAACAAGAATGATAGGGGTAGTTTATTTCAACCCCTTCCACTCATTTTAAAAAATTAAAAAAATTACCTGAAAGTGTGTTTTCATAACAGTAATGCTTCCATAAAATTTCATTAGTCTATCTCTTTTCGTTTTCAAGATAAAAAATAAAAACATTATTTTTCCGCCATCTTTGTACCGCGGTATCTCCCTAATGGTTGACTTTTGACCTAACGTTTATAAAGCAAACTACCCTTTATTTTGAACAAGGAATCACCCCCTAAAGTTTTTCGCATTTGTTTTGAAACAGCCTGTATATTAGTATAGATTATTTTATTATTCTTTCTTTCTATTGTTTATTTTATCCTTCTTTCTATTGCATTATGGTAAATAAATTTTATTTACTACAAAATTTAGAAGTAATAGCCGAGGACAGTGGATTAATTTATTACGCAATGATCAATTGAGCAATAATTCCCCCCTTTGTTGTATTTATTTATAAATTCTAGGCTATCGCACTTTAGAATTCATTGCCCTTCATCCTATCACGCCTTTACTATTATTTTATTATTTTTTATTACCCATTTATCTGGGGACATGTTTGTATTTATACAGGGCAGTTTATAAGATATATTTTTAATAATAGAGATTTTATTTTAAAGTTTTGTACTAATCTTTGAAAAATAAGAAGCTTGCAATATTAAGGCCAATTCAGAAGATAATTTAAATTTCCTTGTTGCTTACTTTTATTTTATTTTTTTCAGATGTGAAACACTGAAGAACGCTAGAATTTTATCCTTGGAAAATACGAAGAAAGAACAACATTCAAAACTAAGAAAAAAAAACAAAACTAACAAGAACTTCCCGGCAATTTTTTTGAAAATATTTTATAAACTAACTGTTTTTTAATCCCCTCGACTGAAATAAAACTATATACCACCTAAATATTTTTGAAAATATACATAAGAAAACTTTTTGACCCGCTTTACAAGCATCCTACGCCAAAATGATATTTGTCTAAATAAGGAAACGAATTATTGAGGGAACAAAACGCACAAACCCCAATCAAAATGACGCAGCAACTGGACAACTATCCAGGTTCCAGACTGCTGGAAGGACTGAGTAGCTACACTAGTCTCCAAGTCGATCAGCTCAATTTCATCGCTTCCCAAGTTTTCGCCCTCGGTTTGGCAACGTTGTACAGGTAAGTCGGGGTTGATGTTCAGGAAATGGGCGTTGCCAGACGCTGTTATTTTTCTTTTTGTTTCCGAAATAAGTTAGAAAAAGTGTAATTTAATGACATAACTGATGATAGATTTGGTTCGGTTTTTAGGACAGTTTTAAGTCCAGCTAAGGTCAGCCCATCAGTCAGACATTCTTTTGGACTTATTTTTGGACTATGGATGGGATATTTTTGTTTTGGATATCAGGCCTTACACTTGGCAGCTCTTCCTGCAGTTTGTTATTTAGTAAGTAAAATTATTAGGTTATTTTTTTAATCTACCGGGTGCATCTCAAAAGTGGCTCACCCCTATAACTTTTTTATTTTTTTAGTTAAAAAAACGAGATTTGGTATGTTAGTATATGATATAAAATTAGAATTGAATAACGTGTTCAATTGTTTTCGGTCACTTCCGGTTTAACCGGAAATGACTACAACTTTTGATTTTTAAATGACACCCCCGATAATTTTTTACTTTATTCGATAGAAAATGTCACTCTGAATAGAATGACATATCATTTGTCAACTTTTAATATTTTCGCATATGGTTTATTTGAAATTATAACTTGCGGTTCGTAACAAAAATTTGACTCGAAATACCAAGTGTGTGGTATAAAATTATTCGTAAAAAAATGCTTTTTCCAAATATTCTAATGAGTCACCCTCGTTCCATTTGAAAAAATTGAGATATGATTAAAAATACGATTGGAGCATTTTCTAACTGTTTTTAACTATTTTTCCAAGGCTCCTTGATGAAGCATTAGTATTTTTAATATAGCCATGGCACTCTGGATTGAATTTTAAAATACAATTTTTTATTAAGCGAGAATGTCAAAAGTTGACATATGATATGTCATTCTATTCAGAATGTAATTTTCTATCGAATAAAGTAAAAAAACAACGAGGGTGCCATTTAAAAATCAAAAGTTGTAGTCATTTCCGATGAAACAGGAAGTGACCAAAAACAATTGAATACACCAATCAATCCTAATTTATGTCATATACTAACATACCAAATCGCGTTTTTTTTATCTGTAAAAATGAAAAAGTTATTGGGGTAAGCCACTTTTGAGACGCACCCGGTATAATTAACTAGCGCCAAACTCAAATTGTATCTAAAATCATTACTTATTTTTAAAAAAATTGAGCCTTTCAGCGTATTTGTGTCACTAATTATACAGGGTATTCGAAAAATCCACGGCCAAATTTCATTAACTTCATTAACTTCATTTCCTTAATAACAAATTACAATTTATAACATTGATATTTAGTGCTATCTACAGCAAGTTCAAAAAAATACGCTTAAGATAATAGCAAAAAAACTATTTTTAAAAAGTTTTAGCATACTGTATCTTTAAAACTAAGTATTTCCGGACTCATAGAAAAGTTTGGTAGTTTAAGTAGTTTATAGAAACTTTTTTTTATATTTTTTGATGAGGGATCACCTTCAAATTTACCCGTATATTTTTCAAACACCCTGTATAAAATATTTTTTTTTTCTGAGTAAATTTCAGTCACTAATGTTCAGTTTCCTATTTGGGACACCCTGTATTTACTTTGGAATGTTAATTATCCGCGATTATTATAATAATTAAAAACGGGTTTTTATAGTTTTTTAACAATACATTATTATACTGCTTTATGAAATTTACTGTAAGGAACTTTCTTTATAACAGGATTACTCTGTATAATTATTAATTGAATCATGAAAAAGCGGCGCAATAAAAATTACTGCTGGTTATATAATAATGTATGCAATATATATTTTTAATACAAACATAATTTTTATTGCTAAATGTGCCATAAAAATTCAAATTAATATGGATCATAATGATATTTAGCTATAAATTTTAGACGGTGGATTTTTAACTTTGTCCAAACCTACTTTATTTTCAGTCATATGCACTCTTTTTTATCCATGAAGTGATTTCTTTTTAGTCCTATACCGGGTGTGTCTCAAAAGTGGCTGACCTCTATAACTTTTTTTTTATTTTTTTAGACAAAAAAAACGAGATTTGCTTTGTTCACCTGAAATTACTACAACTTTTGATTTTTAATGTTACCCTCGATATATTTTTACTTTTTTTGATAGAAAATGACACTCGGAGTAGAATGGTATCATATGTCAATTATTGACATATTCGCTTAAAAAATCGTATTTTAAATTTCAATTTAGAGTGCCATGGCTGTGATAAAAACTAATTTTTAATCAAGGAGCCTCGGAAAAATAGATTTGATCGTCTAATATTTTTCGTGTCTTGTCCTGGTTCATACCATATCCGAAAATATCAAAAGTTGACATATGAGTGTCATTTTCTATCGAATAAAGTAAAAATATACTGAGGGTGCCATTTAAGATTAAAAGTTAGTAGCCATTTCCGATGAAACAGGAAGTGACCAAAAACAATTGAATACGTCAATCAATCCTAATTTATGTCATATACTAACATACCAAATCCCGTTTCTTTATCTGAAAAAATAAAAAAGTTATGGTGGTAAGCCACTTTTGAGACGCACCCGGTATATTTAGTTTTATTAGTATTTTAATAAAACACGCTTTTAGATGTATCAAAAAACTCTTAATAAGAGTAACTTTAACTCTACATATATGTTTCGGCTTGTTAGGCCTTTTTCAAGAGTATTTTAAGAACTAATCGTCTAACTACACTGTAACTATATACAGGGTGTTTCAAAACAAATGCGAAAAACTTCAGGGGGCGATTCCTTGTTCAAAATAAAGGGTAGTTTGCTTCATAAACGTTGGGTCAAAAGTCAACCATTAGGGAGATATCGCGGTACAAAGATGGCGGAAAAATAATGTTTTTATTTTTTATCTTGAAAACCAAAAGAGATAGACTAATAAAATTTTATGGAAGCATTACTGTTATGAAAACACACTTTCTGGTAATTTTTTCACTTTTTTAAAATGAGTGGAAGGGGTTGAAATAAACTACCCCTATCATTCTTGTTAACGAAATTTAAAGAAAAATCTTATCAAACACATGCAAATGCTTTAATTTGGATAGTTTAGTTTGTTTAGAAACTTTTTTATCTCTTGTGTTTTTTTGATAAAACTCGATAAACCGATTTGAAATTAAAAAATAAAATGTAAAGCATTACATGTCAGGACAAAAAACATTTTTAGATTAAGAATCTAGTGATAATAACGATAATAATTGTACGGGCCAAACATTTTTTTTTTCAAGCGGTCAACTCAAATTAAAAATAAAAACCATAAAACAAATTTAAAGAGCGTAAATGTTGTATAATAAAATACAACTAATAATATAAAATAAAAATAATTCTAATAGATGGTACGTTACTAATGGTAATAGCCAACTTTGATCTGGGCGCTGCAAATGGACAAATGTTGTATAGCAACAAAAGTCTTGTATGGCTACCGAGATGACCTACCTGCAATTAAAGAAAAAAACATGGTGTGAGCAACAATGTTACCAGTTATTATTAAAATAAAGTGAATTTAAAATTAAACAGGTACTTGAATGATTTATCAATAGTCCAACTTAAAAATACAAGTTTAAATAAAATAATAAAATGCCACACAGGCTAAAAAAACATGCCACACAGGCTAGTCACACAGACTATTAAAAAAATATGCCACACAGGCTATCAAATGTCGCACAGGCTAAAAAAAACAAGCCACACAGGCTATCAAAATGCCACACAGGCCAAAAAAACATGCCACACAGGCTAGTCACACAGACTATTAAAAAAAATATGCCACACAGGCTAAAAAAACAAGCCACACAGGCTATCAAAATGCCACACAGGCTAAAAAAACAAGCCACACAGGCTATCAAATGCCACACAGGCTAAAAAAACAAGCCACACAGGCTATCAAAATGCCACACAGGCTAATAAAAAATATACAAGTTAATAGTAAAAAAGTAAAAAAATTACCTGAAAGTGTGTTTTCATAACAGTAATGCTTCCATAAGATTTCATTAGTCTATCTCTTTTTGTTTTCAAGATAAAAAATAAAAACATTAATTTTCCGCCACCTTTGTACAGCGATATCTAATGGTTGACTTTTGACCTAACGTTTATAAAGCAAACTACCCTTTATTTTGAACAAGGAATCACCCCCGAAAGTTTTTCGCATTTGTTTTGAAACACCCTGTATATATTTGCTATGGAGGTGAGTTCAGAGAGTTTACAATAGGGATAATAAAAAATGTGTTTAGAAATCCTTGTTGGTCGTTAACATTATTTTCGTTTTTAACAGATTTTAGTATTTCTAACTGTTCAATGTAATTTAAGCGTCTACCTTTTGTTTCTCTGTGTAGTAACTTAATTGAGTTTTCATTAATTTTGTGATCATTTACTATACAATGAGTTGCAAGACCAGAACTATGCTGGAGATTATTAATAGACTTTACATGTTCTTTAATCCTTATATCTAAATTTCTACCTGTTTGGCCTATGCATCACAATCATTGCAATCCACCCTATATACACCCGACTTATTTTTGACATTAGTTTTGTCTTTATTATTTAATAAAATTTGACCTAAATTTCTTTTATTTACGTTAGTAGTTTTACATCCTATTTTATTGAGATTATTTGATATTTTGTAAGTTAAATTAGGAATGTAGTTTAAAAGTCGATAATTGTTATTGTCTTTAGAATTAGCGGAATAAATTTTTTTCTTTAATATTTTGTTTTGTTTTTTCTTTAGCATATTATCAATAAGGGAACACTTATATCCATTGTTGATGGCGATTTGTTTAATAATATTTAACTCTTTTTTAAAATTCTCTGGGCTCAGTGGAAGCATTACTAATCTATGAATGGATGACATTTTGATTTGCCAGGATTGGTGTGATTGACTATGTATTACAGTGTCTGTGGTAGTGGGTTTTCTGTAAATATCAAATTGTAATCTATTAGAATGTTTTGTAATTGTAACGTCAAGAAAATTGATGGTTTTGTTCACAAGGAACCAACCACAGCTTCAGTACAATTTATACTTAGTTTTATTTTATTTTTATCTACTTTTATTTCCTTTCCACTTTGCTCCATTGTAATTCCCTTTCATTTTTTCATTTTTAAATTATTTTGATATTACTATTTTTTATTTAGGTGAATTTAAAAATTAGGTTACCTATGTATGTTATCACAAATTTAAATAATATTAAAAGCCAAAAGGTTGGACTGGTTTGGTTAGCATTTGAAATATTTTGGAACCTGTTTAACGCGATCAACTCAGTAACCATCAATTCGAAGTTGGTCAAAGAATGCCTGGAGAAGCTCAACAAATTAGGCAAAGAAAATAAAGTCCTCCTACTCTGGGTGCCTGCTCACCAAGGGATAGAAGGCAATGAAAATGCAAATGATCTAGCTAGAAAAGGAGCGAACACTCCACTAACTGGACCAGAACCGTTCTGTTTTCCAAACGGGAACCAACTGAAAGCGGAACTGAAGAATCTGGAAGACTCCATCTGTAACTTGGAATGGGTGTCCTCCAACGGTCTAAGACACTCGAAAAAGTTCCTTAGAACTTATGACCGAGAAAAATCAAAGGTTTTCCTTGTTTTAAGTAAAAACAATCTTCGGATTGTCACGGGGTTTCTAACATTACACTGTCTCCTCAACGAACACCTCGGTAGACTGAAGCTGAGAAACAACGGCGAATGCAGATTCTGTGGGGAAGATGGGGAAACACCAGAACACCTTATCACTGAGTGCGCCGAGACGACGACCATTCGTGCCATGACCTTTGTCATGGCTGATGTCGAGGATGGAGAGCTGCCCTCTGTGGAGCCGTCTCAGATACTGGCTTTTGTTAAAGCCTTGAGACTGTATGATGAGTTATAACTCGTTATAACTCAAGAAAGGGGAACACACAATAGATCTATAAGGTCGCAGTGATTAACTCCCCTTCTAAACATTCTACATGAATGTTTCTGTTTTGTCGTTGTTTTGTCTGCTTGGTCTGGATCGGGCATTAGTTCATGCTACTTTGTTATCGTATATTTTTCTTTGATTTTAGGTTATTTTAACGCAGAACCCCGCAATCATGCACGGGGCAGTCCTGTTCACTGCCATGCTGTACCTGTCCTTGGTCCATCTGCACCGCCAGTTCCTGGACGACAGTTCGTTGGACATTAGCGGTCCGCTGATGGTCATCACGCAGAAAGTGACCAGTTTGGCCTACAGCTTACACGACGGCACGGTGAAGGAGAGAGAATCACTCACAGAAAATCAGAAATATCATGCTGTAGATAAACTGCCGTCAGTTTTGGAATTTTTCAGGTACTATAACTTTTTTATTTCTTCAGATAAAAAAACGATATCTGGTATGTTAGTATATGACATGACATAAATTAGGATTGATTAAGAATCCTCGGTATTTTTTTTTCATTATTTGATAGAAAATGACACTCTGAATAGAATGCCATTTCATATGTCAAGTTTTGACATTTTCGCATATGGTTTATTTGAAATTGTAACATGCGGTTCATAACGACAATTTGACTTGAAATACCAAGTGTGTGGTACCACAGATTATACAGATTATAAACTTTGTTTTTTCTTTATTGTTTTTCGTGGTTCCAATTTTCGGAATCGGGCACTAGTTAGGTTACTAGTTTGCGCACTTAGCACACCCACTTATGGCCTCTAAAATTGTGCACAGCGCCTGACCGGTACAGTTATTAGAGATATATCGGAAAACCGAATAGCGTCATGCAGTATTTACGCGTACCTTATCATGGTTACGATATGCGCGAGTCAATTTTTAACTCAACACCCGCTAATAACGTTACCGCCTGACGTAATTTACAGATAAATTACACCAAGCGCTATTTCTAAATAACGTTTAAAAATTGCTTAAATGGGCATGTGTGGGTATTTGACAACCGGGGCCGGCCGGCGAGATCTTTTATTTTAGGTTATGTTTGAATTGTTTTGAATTATTACTTTAGTTTTATTAGGCAATTTGATATTTAAGTAGCTGGGATTAGTTTTAATTAAATAAATATGGCCCAAAATATGGATTCCACCTCTTCCAATATTAAAGAACCTATAAAGAGGCTTAGGTTTACAGCATATGACGACTTAGCCCTTCTAAGAGAATTTGTTGCTTGTTACCCTAAACCCACTGGCAAACGTTGAACAATAAAGCACTGGAAATAAGCACTTTAGCCCTTTAGTTTTAAAATACCTAGTAAACAAAACAATTTCAAAGTTTTAAATTCAAAGTTAGGTTAAGTTTAAATAGCGGACGCGACGCGAACAGAATTCTTTCCGATCCGATAACTATAAATGAAGAGACCACCTATTCCACCTCACGTAAAGGAAATAACACCTGGCCTTATTAACGTCCATGCACGCTATTCGGTTTAGCGATATCTCTCTATTATGCTCTTTATTGTTATTTTACGCGAGTTTATTTTTGCGTACAGGAAATTTTACTCGTTTGCACATCGTCATAAAAAACAATTTTTGTACCACGAATTAGGGATAAGATTTTTATCTGTATACATATAGTATACCTAATCTGTGGTGGTACCAAATTATTCGTAAAAAATGTTTTTTCCAAATATGCTAATGAGCCATACTCGTTCCATTTGAAAAAAAATGATGTATGATTAAAAATATTTTTTGATTTGGGCAAATGTATTTTTCCAAGGATCCTTGATTAAAAAACAAGATGTCCCCGGATTGTCTTTACAAGAGGAAAAACTTTTTTATTATTGACATTTTGGGAAAGATTCATTCTTCATAAAAATGTGTTCTTATTCTAAAATGGTTAATCCCGTTTATACTTTTCCAAATTTCCATATCGTTTTAGGGAAAATTAAGAAAAAAATGAAAAATATAGTTGAATTTTATTAGTCCTAAAAATTAAAAGGCGTTTCTATGGTAATATAAATTCGCTTTCATTCTTTGATAGATTGTTATTCATATAATTTTAACTAACATAACTTTTTTTGCTGTTTTAAAATATTAAAAAAGTACAAAAAAAATTTACTTAGATCAATGCTACGGTAAGGGCGATGATAATTATCAGAAAATATGATACTTTAACAACAGCAAAGAATATGACGTTAATCAAATTTAATAATAACCATCTATCAAAGAATGAATACGAAATCATATAACCATAGGAACGCCTTTTGATTTTTAGGACTTTTAAAAAAATTAAACCATATTTACATATTTTTCTTAATAATACGGTATGGAAATTTGGAAAAGTATAAATGGCAATAACCATTTTAGAACAAGCAAAAGTTTTCAATACAACTATAATGTTCAACATGGAAAATGAATACTTATACCGAGTGTTTCTCATCACCCTTATAAGCTTTTATTTTTTTTAGATAAAATAACGAGATTTGGTATGTTGGTGTATGACATAAATTAGGATTGGTTGACGTATTCAATTGTTTTTGATTTTTAAATGGCACTACAAATGGTATTTTTTGACTTTATTCGATAGAAAATAACACTCTCAATAGAATGTAAAAGTTGATATATTATATATCAACTTTTGACATTTTTATTAAAAGGTGGCTCTTGAATGCATTTAAGAACAATTTTAAATAATCCATATGCGAAAATGTCAAAAGTTGGCATATGATATGTCATTCTATTCAGAGTGCCACTTTCTATCGGATAAAGTAAAAACAGATACATTTTTAATTTATTTTTTAAATTAACTATTTCTACTATTAATATTTAAAGCGCCTTACTATAATTTTCCCATTTTTTTGCAATATTTCGTCTGGTTGTGTTTACCGTGACTCACGCGTCACATCGCGGGAATCTATTTTAAAATCATTTATTTTCCACTTCAACAATATAAATAGCATAATGATTATTACACTTGTTCGTGTCGAAATTGACATTCTTTTAAGTACATTGTAGTCAAGTTTTGAGAGAATTCCATTGTTTACATTGTTCAAGATCACCTGTTTTTATCAGTTAATCTTTTTATTGCACTATTTTGTTAGACCATACATCTCTTTTGAATTCCCTTATCGATGCAGTTTTCAATGCAGATACAGGGTGTTCAAAAAATGCACGTTCGTAATTCCTTATCAAAAAATAAATATATAAAAATAAATTCCTCAATAAGTAATTGATAATTTACGACATCGAAAATGCTGAGAAGCGTCTTCAAAATTTCCCTCGTATAATAAAAATAATGACATATCCATAGAAAAAGAGATTTTAGGACATAACTTAACCTTTGAATAAGAATACTAAGGAAGGAGCATAACGCTATCCATGGATTCATGCATGGTGGGCGGAAAAAGGACTCTAGGGTGGGGATCCTTGACAGTTCCGTTTGACGATTCATTTGACACATTTGAATTTGATTTGAAATTTTGTGGATTTGTCCGTCTTTACGAAGCTTATTTTATGTTATTTATTATTTATTCTACTACTGATAGTTGTATAAAGGTAGTAAATCTAGATGGAAATTGTGGCAGAACTTAAATTGACAGTGACACTATCGAGATTTATCGAAAAAGCCTCTAAACTAGTTGGTTGTGTAGCGTGCGGTAGATCTTGGTAAAAATCGAGTGAAATAATGGAACAACTTTTCGCTAGTAAGTGACTATATAATATACATACGTGTAGTAAACCGATCATTTATGAAATTCACTTAAATTATAAGTAATTATAATTTGCATTTTTGCTTTTATTTACTACTTGTCAAAGATTAGATGTCAAAGAATTTAGATACGTCAATTTGACTTACCTGCTTCAGTAGCGTATCGGATGTTTGTGTTAATAAATAATTATTAAAACTTATCTATTTTTATTATAATAATATGTTTTTATAACAATTTTAATAACTACCGACATTTATTCACAACGTAAAATAAAAAATTATTGAGTCTACCCTACGTCTACCCTACATCATAGTTTTACATTTTTTAAATAAAATTAGAACGGCACTGATAAACCGGAATTTAAGTCGGCTATATTTGAGTCCCATCGCGGTGGACCTAAGATTTTTGATATGCTCCTTCCATAGTCTTACTCAAAGCTTCGTTAGGTTCTATTTCCAAATCAGATACATTTGATGTATCATCTGGTTCTGATTCTGAAGGATGGAACTCTACCTCTACGGGTTCTGGTGGTTCTGGAGGAGTTTCATATTGTTGAATATCATGCTCCATATCCACTTTTTGTTTTTGTAGTAATAATTTATTGTTATGAGCTACGAACATTATTTTGCCGGCTCTTTGGGCAGTTAAGGAATTCCTTTTGTTAGTATGGATAAAACTGTAAGTACTAAAACTTCTCTCAGTGGCTGCAGATGACGTTGGTAAAGATAGCAGAGCAACAGCTAAATATTTCAACTGAGTATTTTTACACATTGCTTACACCTTTTGAGGTTATTTTATACATGAAACATTCGCGCGAATATTCGCGACTGTTACCGTATATTTTGAAAAGAAATTTCATGCAAAATTCAGATTTTTGCGAATATTCGTGATTTTGGGACCGAAATTTCGGAAATTTCTGAAATTTCCTGCAAAATTCGAATGGAAATATTCGCTATCAACATCACTAGTTGTGTAGCGTACGGTAGATCTTGGCAAAAATCGAGTGGAATAATGGAACAACTTTTCGCTAGTAAGTGACTATATAATTATACATACGTGTAGTAAACCGATCATTTATGAAATTCACTTAAATTAACTAATTATACATTTTTTCTTGCATTTTTGCTTTTATTTACTACTTGTCAAAGATTAGATGTCAAAGAATTTAGATACGTCAATTTGACTTACCTGCTTCAGTAGCGTATCGGATGTTTGTGTTAATAAATAATTATTAAAACTTATCTATTTTTATTATAATAATATGTTTTTATAACAATTTTAATAACTACCAACATTTATTCACAACGTAAAATAAAAAAAAATTATTTTGTCTACCCTACATCACAGTTTTACATTTTTTAAATAAAATTAGAACGGCACTGATAAACCGGAATTTAAGTCGGCCATATTTGAGTCCCATCGCGGTGGACCTAAGATTTTTGATATGCTCCTTCCTTAGTCTTTTTATTCAAAGTAATAAAACAATAAACTTTTGATTTCTAACCACATTTTCTCTTGACGGATGACAATCAAAGGCCAAAATGACATTTCTCGCAAATTTTGAAGTATAATTACTGGAAAAGTTAGAAGTTTGTTAACTTTTTCCACTAATTGAAAATTCCTACCAGTAATTTTGACGCTCTGAATGCTTACATTCAAACTAGAGGAGCAAACTTCTACGCTAATTGAAACCACTAATTTAAACCACTATTTGCGAGGTTCTGAATGAAGCACTACAACGGCATCCAACTCAATGAAAAAGCCGATGAACTAGCAAGGAAAGGATCTAAAATAAAATAAATAAACCTCAAAATATTAAACGTTATTAACCCTAGTTTAAAACAAAATTAAAAATATCTTTACTAGTAAACCACAGGCAACTGGATATCCATACATAGATACAACAATGGTTCCGATAAATGGAATGATCGATTTCACTTCATTACGGTAGCAAAACTAAACATTATCGTGCTATCGGCGAGAGGTGTGCACAATGCGATACGTCAGATTCATACTGACTGCACAAACAGGAAAAAAGAACACGCAAATGGAATCGCAATGAGACAAGAGCTCTGCAAACAATCTGCTTTCAATTAAAAGAGGTCTCATCGATGTAGACGTCAGTATAGGTTTTTGTCAGTGGCTCTTAAGGATAAGTCGATATTTGCGTGTATTGTTTTATCGAGTGCATATTCAATGCACAGATTGAATAGCGGGTGTTCTTCAAAAATGGCTCACCGCTATAACTTTTTTAATTTTTCAGATAAAAAAACGAGATTTGGTATGTTCCTATACGATAGAAATCAGGATTGATTGACGTATTCAATTATTTTCGGTCACTTCCTGTTTCACCGGAAATGAAAACAACTTTTGATTTTTAAACGGTACCTTCGGTATTTTTTTACTTTATTTTGTAAAAAATTGTGAACTTTTGGCATTTATGCTTAAAGAAATAGAATTTTAAGGGTCCTTGGTAAAATAGATTTGATCGTCTAATGTTTTTCGTAACTTTTCGTGGCCACTTAAAAATGCCCTAAATGAATTGTTAATCGTAACTCAATTTCTTCAAATGAAATGAGGGTGGCTCATTAGCATATTTGAAAAAAGCATTTTTTACGAACTGGTCAATAACAAAAAAGTCCAACTTCATTTCCATTCACTGTTAGGTGGTTCCATAGAGTTAAAAGGTAGTACAAAGTTTTTCATAAATAAAGATATAAACATTGATTTTATTGCAAATCATTCATTTTCGTATACATTTTATGTAATAGAAAATATTTCTTAAAACTATCCTGTATTTCTAACAAAAAAACGTTATATACATATATACAGGATGGTCCGAACTGTATTCCGGAAATTTTGGCAGCATATTCTGCAGATAAAAATAAGTAAAAAAGTTCGTATAAATGTATGTCATAAAATGCTTAGTTTAGGAGATATAGGGTGTAGAAGTGTCATTTTTATTTCAATTCTGTCCAAATAATTATGAAGTAACGTCAATATTTGGATGAAAATTGAGGAGTGTGGATGAAAATTGGGGAGAAATTGAGGAGTCAAAATGAGTATTTTGATATGAGAAATTTGATTTTGATGTCAATATGACTCCTATTTGTAGGGGGCGCCACCGACATGTGCTTTAATTGTTATGAAAAGTAATAACTTTTCTCTCGTCCGTAATAATACTATAATAAAACTACTAATTGAAAAAATGTAAATTTCCGTGACTTTTCACGTAAAAAATGTCTCTTGGTAAAAATCACTACGAGCAACCGTTTTCAAGATATTTAGAATGGAAATAGTCAATACATGTCATTATTGACAAAAAATAAACACATTGAGTAGATAGTTATTTGACTAAAATAATAAATTTCGGAAATTTTTATTTTTTTAAATTAATGATAAATTTTTCTGCGAAAAAATGATAATAAAACAGTTTTTGTTGAAGTTTTGACACAAAAACATTTAAAATTTATGATTTCACTCTAATAACTATTTAGTCAACATGTTTAATTTATGTCAGTGATGACAGGTATTGATAATTTCGATTCCAAATATCTCGAAAACCATTGCACGTAGCGATTTTTACCAAGAGACGTTTCTTACATAAAAAAAGGTCGTAAATGCCCAAGTAGCATTTTCACGACTTGCGACCAAATGTTTACTAAACACAACGTTGGATTAGTTACAAAAAATAGTTAGCTCCGTACCTTGGGTATTAAATTATAAATGTAAACGTTGTTGTAACGTTGTGCCGACGTTGAACTAGTACTACAACAAAGTAAAAGCTCTGCGACGTCGAATAAACGTTGTCTTGTAACCTTTTTTGCTTAAGTGATCTTTAGGTGATTCGGACAAAGTAGTTACAATGTTGGGCAATAAAGAGTTTTCCGACGTCACTTTTAGGACCTATTCCAACGTTATGCAAACGTCGTCTGTTTTACTAATTCCAACGTTGTTTAGATTTCCTTATTCTTACGTTGGTAGGACGTCGAGCCACTACCTTTTTGCAACTGTATTGAACCATAACCTTAAATCTTAAATTTTCATTTCATTGTTCAGTCAGACAGTTCAGTGCTGTTTTTGTTTTTTATAAAAAAAACTTAATTAAAATGCTACATAAGAAAGGTACATATCAAATTAAATTTAAATATACATCGACATATTACCGATACTTTATCCATTCCCTCGTTTATTTAGATTATAGAGGGCGGCACAAGCTAGACTCTAGGATGACTAAATTAGGCAATCTTGCGACTAGTATACTACCTGTTAAGACTAAACTGCGACTTTATTAGTCCAGTATGCGACTACTCGAACTACTCCATCTTAATCTCCAAAACAACAAAGTAAAAGCCGCCATGTTGTTGAATAAGAAAATGTTTCGTTCCTAAAATAGCAATTCCTGCTTTTTGAATACATTAACTTGAAATATTTGACCCTAAAAAACACGCGGAAGCAATTTTTTCGACTGCGAATAAATTATTCTCATTTTACTTAAAAAAATTCAAGAATTTTTTTAAAACTTCTTTAATTTTGAAGCCCATTAGTATTTTTCAATGTAGAGACAATACATTTATCAATAAAGTTGTTTGCGTTTAACTTTTTTTCCTTGAGTAACGAGTTACAGAGTCGGTTAAAGTGTTTCAATAATTATGATCTTCAAATATCCTCCATACTTAAATACTTTTGTTTTGTTTTCCTTTACTACCATCTGGCATATGTCTCTAACTAAATCATAAAAATAATATTTTTACTATAATTATCCCAATTTAGGATAAAACGCGACTTATTATTATAGTTTTGTATTTCTGTGAATTAGGATTTTAAACAACGTTGCAGTTTGTACTAAATTAGGCTGCTAGCCAACGTCGGTATCCAACGTCGTTTCAACCCAAAATTTATTCTCCAAACTAGTGCAGACTAGGGTTGGCACGAGATTGTGCCGACGTTGCGCCCCGACGTTTGGTCGCGTGACACAACGTTGTCCCGACGTCCAAATGCTGCTTGGGTGTATATTTTTTCACTCAGTAGTTTTATACAGGTACGGACGAAAAGTGATTACTCTTCAAACCAGCTAAAAAATATGTAGGTGGTGCCCTCTATATGTAGGAGTCATATTGACATCAAAATCAAATTTCTCATGTCCAAAAAACTCCCAGACACCAATTTTCCAAAAATTCATCCAAATATTGACGTTTTTTCAGAAATTATTCGAAAAAAATTGAAATAAAAATGAAACTTCTACACCCTGTATCTCCGAAATTAAGCATATTAGGACATACATTTAGGAAGTTTCCAGGCTACAACAGTTCGGACCACCCTCTATATAGTTTGTTCCTAACCAAATTCTTTTTTACAGCTATTCGCTGATGTTCCCGTCGTTGATGGCCGGCCCCGTCATCTTCTACAAGGACTACATCAGCTTCATCGAAGGCCAAACCCTAACCCCCACCAAGAAACCCACCACTTCTATGCAGAAAGTCATCGTCCACGAGCCCAGCCTCAATCGCGTGGTCTTCCAGAAACTCATTCTCGGCATCGTATGCGCTTTAGTCTTCGTCCTGTTTCTTCCAGCCTTCCCTATCAGCAGACTCAAAGACGACAACTTCATAGAAAACACCACGTTCAGCTACAAGTTTTGGTATTTAACTGTGGCAACTACCTTAGTGAGAACCAAGTATTATTTCGCGTGGACTTTGGCGGACGCCATTTGCAATAACGCGGGAATGGGATGGGACGGAACAAACTGGAACAAGTTCTCCAACGTGGATATATTCAAGTTCGAGTTCGGAACGAATCTTAAAGAGAGTATAGATGCTTGGAACAGAGGCACAAACTCTTGGTTACGTTTTATAGTTTACGGAAGAGTACAAAAATACTCGACCTTCCTCACGTTCGGATTAAGCGCGTTGTGGCACGGTTTCGAATTAGGGTACTACCTAACGTTTATGAGCGGCGCCCTCTTTACCATAGCTGCGCGGACGGTCCGTAGACATCTGCGCAGTCACTTCACGTCTTCCTCCGAGTCGAAGTTGCTGTACGACCTGATAACCTTCGCCACGACGCGTTTTGTGATGGCCTATCTCACGTTCCCGTTCATACTTTTGGAGTTCTGGCCCTGTATAGCGGTGTACGCTAAGCTGTACTGGATCGTGCACTTGCTGGCGCTGTTAGCTGTCTACGCTATTCCCAGGTTTCTTCCTAAGGCTTTGCCTGGCGAGGAGGTGCAACAAAACGGGATAGCTATAGCGCTGAAAAAGGCTGGCCCGTATTCGGAGGCGATGGGCAAAGTAGACTGATTTTATTTAGTATTGTAACGATTCTCGAGGAGAATCTGAAGGTTGTTATTTATTTTTTTCTTAAATTAAAGTAGATATTTATTTTTATAAAGATGTTAAGACATGAATTGCAGACCACAAGAGATAAGTAAATAAAAATTAACTTTTTTGGACAAGTCAGAGTCATTGGTCGAGATGGATTGTGGGAATTTTTTTGCGCGGGCGTTTTAAATTCTCTGTATTACTGGGAGTGACCAAGCTCATAAATGTCCAGATTATCCAGAAGATACCAACAGGATATTTTGTTGTCTTGACGTAATATATATCTATCTATATGGTTTATTGCATTTTATGTAATATAAAAAGTAGTACATTATTTATTTTTCCTAAATATCTAGACGATATTGTTAGGATATTTTATTATCATGAGCATATTTGGATATCTCAGCTGAATGTACATTAGATTAGAGATATCCATAGGATATTCTATTCTGATACATCTACAGGATTTCAGGATGTCTGGAGGATATCCTATAGATGTCTTTATAAGATGATGTTATAATGGGACATTCCGACATTCTATATGAATATCCTGCGGATATTGTGTGTTATATGGAAAGGTTATACCGTATGATCGAAAAAAAAAACGCCGTCCAGTTGGCTGAGAAATGACGATCGATGACATTTCCCATATAAATTTACATATAAAATGACAGCGATTTTCATTTCATAGCTATCGCTGACGCCGTTTTTTTTCGATCATACGGTATTTTCATTTTAGTTATTCCACAAATACAACTAATATGAAAATATAACCTTAACACAATATAGTATTTTAGACAGTAGTAGAAAATGACAATCTCTAATAAATTCTACTAAAAAAATAATAGTTATTTTTTATACAAGACGATATAATTACTATACTTCGTGTATTTTTTTTCTATAGCGAGTTACGTTTTAAAAAATATTCAGAAATGAATATTTCAAGGAATTTATTACGAGTAGAAAAAATATTGTGCTGGGTTGGCGTTGGTTTCTATGTAATTTGCCAAATAAATAAAGCTATCTCTTTAGTTGTCAGTTTTGAGTCAATATTTTTTAATTCTCTTTCGTGTCGATTGCTGATTGAATTGGAGCCAGAAATGGCTCAAAACGAAATAAGTAAATTACCAACAGATATTTCAGGCTGAGGCGACAAACGCCATATCCAAACACTTCCATTTAAATCCCGAATAACTTATGAAAAGGAATACAAACATTTTCAAAAATGGAAGCAATTAAAAAACGTGCGAGAAGAAATAAAGTTTTTAACCTATCCTCGCTGTTAAAGTATCATTTAATCTACCCTTGGGGTTAAGGTACTATTTTATCTATTATTTTTGATAGATATAAGACAATTTTAACAGTTGCTATGGAAAAAAAATATCTACGATTTTTTTTACCTAATTCCTGTGGTCTGGCCTCGGGTATCCACTGATATACAGGGTATAATTTCTCGTTGAAAAACCATTTAACCACTAGTTCTTCGTCTTTGGGGTAGTCCAGGGAGTACTCGCAGTCCAGTACGACAGGTGTGCCCAGGGACACCAGTGGCGGCACTTGAAGACGGTTGATTTTGACACAGCAAGATTCCAGAATGCCTTGGGTGATGCATGAAAAGGTTCAGTAAAATCAATATATAAAAATGTTTACGTACAAATATAATTCAATTATTCAAATTGGATTTAAATTAAGCTTCATGGTTATTGAAAAATTAATTCTATTGTAATTTCTCTTAAATCATTAATTCTTTCTCTTTTAAGGGTTATTATCAGGGTTGGCATGATTTAAATCAAATCATTTAAATCATGATTTAAATCACGTGATTTTTTTTATTTTAATCATGTGATTTAAAATAAAAAAATCAACTTTTTTTAAAACTTATAAAAAATCGAGAAATAACTGTAAAGGTTATAAAAATGTGTCCTAGAAAACTATAAAAAATATTACCCATTAGACCCCTAGATGGTAGAGATTTATTTTGAAATTTATGTGCCTACAAATGACAAAAATCCGATGTTCGAATACATTTCATTCACAAACTCTAGTGCAGAACTAGGTTCTTCTGATGTTAGACTATCTTCATTCCCGAGAATCTAAAATCGTTGTCAGAAAATATGCTGTTTTATATTTTTTTGAAACAGCTGTATGTTGATCAAGATAACTTCTGCCTTCTCCAATTTATCATCTAGCTTTCCAAATTTCTACCGACATTTCGATCTGCAGTAAGTACTTTACACTTTGACATTAGATAATACTAATTTCATTCTCGACTCAAGACTATTTCTGAACAATAGTGTATTGTTTTATTAGGAGTAAAAATTATACTTTGTTTGACGAGGCTGTACGTTTGACGGACCAGCGTAAAGCTAGTCCGACGTTACAGGGAGGCACAAAAAGTACATTTCTACTCCGAATACAACATACTATTTATTTTCAACCGTTACAAATACTGTTTTAATCAATTGCAAATAATATAAATAGTAACACCTTGTAAGTAATTATACAGGGTGGTCCGAACTGTATTCCGGAAACTCCGGCAGGATATTCTGCAGATAGAAATAAGTAAAAAAGTTCGTATAAATGTATGTCCTAAAATGCTTAGTTTCGGACATACAGGGTGTAGAAGTTTCATTTTTATTTCGATTTTTTCCAAATAATTTCTGAAATAACGTCAATATTTGGATGAAAATGGGCGCGTTCAGGGAACACAGCCGCTGACATTCAGCGTAGAATTTCGCTGACCAGCAGCTTACGATATTCCCTAAACGGCACAAAGCAGCAGAAAAAACAAGAAACAGTACCTGTCTCATGCGCTCTCCGTCTACTATAAAAAAATGAGAGAAATATAAATAAATCGTCTTCGTCAAATCAGTCTATAATCTATAATCGATCTTTAGTCTTTAGAATAAAAATTATTTTGAAAAAAGAATTATTATTACTGGCTGATCATATTTAATAGTTGAAAATATATTATTTGACTATACCGTATTAAACATTAATTTTCTAAAAAATAAGTTTATAAAAATAATTTTACCTATACACCTAAACAAAACCACTTAAAATAACAGGAACTGGCAGTTCCACCAAGTTACCTTTTACACTTTTTTTCCGCTGGTATGGTACAAATAAAATTACTGAAGGTGAAAATACCCTACAATAAAAAAAAACGACGTCAGGGGTGATGTGGAGGTGAAGATTGCTGTTACTTTATAAGTAAACTTATATAGGGAATATTATCGATCGTTATTTCTAAGTCAACTAGGCGCAATTTTTTTTCGATCAGACGGAAAAATATGTTGGTGGCGCCCTCTACAAGTAGGAGTCATGTTGACATCAAAATCGAATTTCTGATGTCAAAAAACTCCCAAACACCAATTTGCATCCAAATATTCACGTTAATTCATAAATTATTTAGAAAAAATCGAAATAAATATAAAACTTTTACACCCTGTAACTCCGAAACTAAGCATTTTAGGACATACATTTATAAGAACTTTTTTACCTATTTTTATCTGCAGAATATGCTCCCGAAGTTTCCGGAATACAGTTCGGACCACCCTGTATATCGAGCAACAACTTTTGTACACGCGTTGAATTTGACACTAATATCAATTTAATAATATATTTTTGTACTTTTGTGCGTTACAATAACAAAAATTAATACTTTTGTGACGTTTGAAAAAATCCTTTTTGATCGAAGCGAGCGACTTTTTTGCGGAATATATTGTGGAAAAATGACACGCCCCGTATAATTGTTAATGTATCGGTATCGGGTAAAGTTACTAAGATCTAGCGATTTAGGATATGACTTTAATTGGAAATAAGTCCTAATTATTTGGAAATCCAATTTAAATAATGTTTTCTATTAAAATTAAAAAAATATGATATAAATAAAAAAAAATCTCTACCTGCAAGCAATAAGATGACATATTTATCCATAACGAAGTTATAAATCTAAACACTATTTACACCATATTTTATTCTGCAAACACTTTATTAATCTTCTATCACTGTATTTATATTACAAAAATAAAAACTGTACTCAAGAAGAACTAATTTTTAGAACATATTTTTCACATTACATTCTTCTCGAAAATTACTTTGCTCTATCCGAAAAAAAAGTAGTTTCAAACTTTTCCCAAACAAACTTTTAACGCGCACCACGTGCCAGGCCTTCTGGATCTCTCATCGACGACAGAACTGGTTATGGAGAGGGATGCGGCCCCACTGAATGGGAAAAGGAAAATTGGCGTCTTTTACCTCCTGGAAAACTCAACCAAGACATCGTTGCACTGGAACAACGCGCATGCCGTTGGCAGATGGCTAAATTCGTCTTCAATCCATATAAATAAAAATTAAATGCTGTTGCTTCTACCTTTGAACAGCGCTGCTTCGTTTGATTATACAACTCTATGGATAGTTTTCCTGTATAGAAGGATGTGACTAATACGTGATAATCAATTAAGTGGTTATCGCTTGGTGGCCATATTGTAATTGTCATTTTTTGAAATATTAATTCGGAAGTAATTTCTGTCAGTTCCACAAAATATTCCGTCAATTCTTATTACAAAATGACAAAAGAAAAATTTGGGGAAAAAAATAAGGATACATATTATGTACTTTATTTCGTTGTATAATCTTTTGAAAACAACCCGATGTTTCAGGATTACTTAATACTTTTGCCTGACACTCAATGCGATACCGGTAAAGGGTAACGCATTTCGTAAAAGTATTATTCGGTAGTCCCGAAACATCTTGTGGTATTACATTCGAGAGTCACTGCCTTGATTTGGTCATGTAATTTTTAAGGGTTTCTGTATTATTCCAACTATGATTTTATAGCTTAGTCCAAGAGCTGAGCCGGGTGCAACAACATGGAAGAGTTTTCTGAAGGCTCACATTTTCAAAATCGATTGCATTTGAGTGTTAAAAAGCAAAGATACAGGCAGCAGTTCCAGTTCCGGGACACCTGGCGCTGAGAAGCTCGCAAAAGTGTAATTTTACAATCTCCAAACTGTTTTCTGAAGGCTGGAAA